TAATGCCCTGTTTGAGGGCACAGTCTGTATGTTTCAGTGATCATCAGCTGGGACTGAAGCTCTTGATCCAAAGCCCAGTTATCTGACTACAGAGCTACTTTATTAACTGAAAACACTTCATCAGCACATCTGTGTTCACAGTGTCACACTATTCTCTCACCTCTGGTCTCTCTCTGTGCGTGTTCTTCTCCAGAGGAACTCATTTTGGAGCTCATGTCTCCTACAGGTCACAGCTGGATCCCTGCAAACAGACACATGCAGAGAAAAGGAGCAGGACACACAGTTACTTCACTCCAAAATCACTGTCTCAGATTCAGCCCTGCCTCATCAGACTGTTCACCTACAGAGAAATATTCATCAGGTCAGAAAGTCAATTCTGTCAGTTAAGAATTCAGTAAAAACCTACTGAACTGATCTTTATTCAAATTAGTCAAAAACTACAGCTCAGATTTACAGACTCACCTTCTTACTCTCCTGACTTGCTTTATGTTTGTCTCTTCATAAAATGGAGCTTCACTTCCACTAATGGGGTGAAATGGGGTTTCACTTCCACTAAAACCTGTTCTGACTGGTATAATCATGAGAAAAGCCGCATGTCACCTGCTCAGTTGCTTTCAGTATCAACTGAACATTCACAAGGTTTTAGGTAACCCCTTAAATGTCCAGGGCCCACCAGCAGGCCAAAGTTTTACTACACACTTGTATAACCTAAGAGCAACTCAGCTAGTTGTACATTGTAGTCCATGTAGTTACTGAATAAAAAGCCTTAGTATGTCATAAGCCTGGAATTTTAAGGGGTTAATTAACTTTTCTTGCTGAGTGATGAATGGAAGCCCAGAAAGGCCAGGGATTCATGCGATTAACAGTTTAGCCACTCTGTATTTTTGCTTAGTGTTCAGTAGCCCATTCAACCATGGCCTTAGTTTAAGAGGGCTATATTGGTCATTAGTGTTGGAGATGTAAGGAGCTGAGCCCAGTATTTTCTATGATTGCACTTCAAAGCATGCCAGCTTTCTGTGTAACAAACCATACAGTGAAAAGCCATAAAGAATAAAAAAAACTTCATTTGAAAATGAAACCAATAAACAGTCTGACATAGATAGTAAGCCTAATAAAACAAAAAATGGGAAAATAAATCTGAACACAACAGAATTATTGATGTTACATGCTAAAGTTTATGGGGAAACTATATTACACAGTATTTGATCAACCTTAATTTATACTCATAAATGTGTTTTGGGAGAATTCTCATTTTGAAATAGTCAAGTAAGAAACAAAGCAACTCATAACAGATAAGAAACAAAAAAAACAATAAGAACAATTCAAGCAATAAAAATATATATATATATTTTTCCCCAACTTATTTTACACTGGCTAAAGAATAACAGTGAGGTGAGAATTAAATAGCTTTAAAAGCTGCTAGATGTCTTCCAAGTTGCCAGAGCACAATAAATAAAACGATTTAAAATTATTAGTAAAAACATAAAAGACCAGCAATGTAATCCAATCACTGCAGTGAGTTCTGTAAAAACCTTGTTAATAGTCAACATAGATGTGATGTATGGAGGCACGTGTATGATTGGAGCTTTAGGAATAAATAATATTATAATAATCTCCTTCTGAGTCGCGGAGGTAGGCTAAAGTATGCACACATAAAATATCACCATGATCATGATGGAGAGAAATGTTGCTTCAATAAGTATTTTTCTACATTGAAAAGGAAAACTCTTATTTCTACAAAAGAAACCATATTTGTGCTTTCAATTTTCTTTATTTACATGAAATTTAAAGTTATTTTCTCATCATGCTAAATTCCAAGGTTCTTGTACTCTGCAACTCTTCCCAACTATAACCTTTTCATGGTGGAGCTGGTCAGATTATCATAGTCAATATGTTGGCTCTGGTGAACAATATAAATGTAGTCTTTTTGGCATTAAGAACTAAGCTCAACTTGTAAATCATCAAAGCAGCATTGGAAGGCCTTAGCTGCTGAATATTCCATATTGGCAGAACTGTCTTTTACGCAGAGGAGTACATTACAGCCGGTTATGAGGGAAATTACATAATCTATATAAATTTTAAACAAAACAGGCCCCAGAAATGAGCCCTGTGGAACTTCTTCTGAAATTGATACAGAAACAGATTTATCATTACCAGTAGCTGCACAATGCTGTCGGTCTATAAAGTAATTATGAAGCCATTTATAAGCGTTATGATCAAAGCCAATGATGTGATGTTTTTTTAAAGCAAAGAGTGAACTGTATCAAACACTTTTGACAGGTCAATAAAACCAACACTGCAATACTTCTTATGAGGCAGTAACAATCTAAAAAAATAAAGACCGTAATAAGTCCTGTTTTTCTTGAGAAACCAGACTAGTGAGCATGTGTTCTTTCAACTCACTCCATCCTCACCAAGCTCAGATGACTCTAAACTGATCCTAAACTGATGACCCTACTGATCTACATATCCCTGTATATTTTATACCAGTAAACTATATGAATTGACCCCTATGACTAGGGAACCCGTTTTCTTCTTTGTTTCCGGATAGCAAAACATTAACAAACAAACCAAATAATGTTAGAAAAATATTGTATAAAGAAATGAATAATGAATATACAACCTAGCCATGTCCAGTTCCACCCAATAGCTAGGTCTCCCCAGTCACGCGATACTACAAGCGCTGGGAGGAGGATGGCTATCACATGCTTCCTCTTAAATCACTGGAAGCCAGCTGCCTTGTCTTGTTGGATCACCTCTAACACAATCGTCATTGGACAGCTAAAGACATTTGGTGGTGAACAATAACTGCCTATTCTGAGTGATGGGGGGAGAGGGAGGACCAGCCAACCCACTCAGAGAGAGGATCTCCCCATGATAGGACCAACACTTAGACAGTTGTAGCAGATAAATAAGCAATAATCGATAATAAATAAAGAATCAAAGAATGCAGTTCTGTTTGGAATGCTCTGAACATGATACAGTGCAAGCAGAGGCTCTGGCAGGCCTAACTACAACAGCTTAGCTACCATAAGAACCAGAAGGTATCACAGGCATGAGGGCTCCCTGAGATATCAGAGCCCCTCCACTCCACCATCAACAAACCTAATTGTGTGAGTGGAAGCCTGTGATTTAGGTGAGTGTGACGTTTCATAACAGGAAATGAGGTCACTTAGGTACTGAGGAGCTCCTCCTGTACATACTCTTATCACATGGAGTGATCAACCAACGTGGGGAGTTTGATGAACGGGTGTCTGGAGGTGCAGTCACTGGTGAACAGGAAGTGATGTCATTTTGGAGATGACCAACAAGAACCAAAACACACTACTTTCTCTGGTTCCAGAAGTAAGAATCCCATTTATTTTCTTCATAGACATTTTAAAAAATCCTTGCATAAAGAGTTTTAAGCATTCAACCACACCAGTCAGCTACAAGATAAACCATGACATTATAAGTCAAATCTGAGCAAAGAATGCTTTGAAAAATGAATAAAAACACAAAGTTACAAGACTGTGTACTTAACCTGTTAAGTGTTGGAATGAACAACATATCCCACAAAGCACTACAAATGGTTTCAACCAATCACTTTCACTCCTTTTTGTGCCAACGTTTGCAACTACGTTCTCATAATGTTTTTGTGGATACTACTGTTTCATTATTATTATTATCATTATTATATACTTTTTATGTACCTGTAATGTTTGAATTTCATCATTTTCATTTTAAGAGTTCTTGTATTTTATCATTGCTATCAGGTTTTCTGTTGTGGTGCAATGAATCTTATGAAATAATTAATTTGTTTAACTCTATAAGAATTCTATTAATCCAGACATGGGGTACCTCCTTATTTTCCTTGCAGAGGTGCGCAGAGGTGCGAGGAAAACACAAATATTTGTGCTCCACAACACAAATATGATTGCTGAAAGGAAATCTGAAAGCTATATGGCCAAACTCAGATTTTCAGCTCTCCAAACTCTCCTCCCCTCATCCCTCAATAAGACGGCGCTGTGCTTTGTGGTGTTCTGGTACCAAACTACACAGTTTGAATCTCCATGGTAACAGTGACATCCCTGACTGGCGGTGCTTGCATGTATAGGTAATGTATTTCTTTATAAGGAATGGATTAATAAAATATGATTTTTTTGGAAACAAAGTTCATGCAAGACTGAGTCATGGCTTTATTGGGAGTATATACCATTATCCCACAATTTCTTAGCTTGTAGTAAGTCTATGTTGGATACGGCTGGATAAAATATTATAAGCAAAAATCAAATTCCATATGGTGAATATTAATTAGGGAGACTGCTCAGTTTTCACTGAGAGTGTGTTGATGTTTGTATTGAGACTTCATCATCTCCTCATAACTCTCTGTGTGTGGAACTCATAACAGCTCATCTGAATCCTGTGGGTTGATGCTGTAAGACAGAGAAAAGAAGAAAAGAGCAGATTAAACAGCAGAAATAGATGCTTTTTTGCATTGGACTTGAGTAAAGATGACTAAGATTTGCTTTGTTGAAGTCCCCTAAAACAAAAAGAACAGTGTTTGTTTATGTTCAATGCTGATAAAAAATGAATCTCTCCTTCAGTGAGCTATCAAATCAGAGACCAATTTCCCCTTTTGTTTAACAATTATAGTTCATACTGGCATTAAAACAGTAAATGTAAGTCTGTAAATGGGCCACTATGCTTTTCTTCATACAGAAGAAAAGCATAGTGTCCCACAAGGTTCTGTTCTAGGATCTCTACTACTCTCTTTATATGTGCTACCACAGTGTAATGTCTGTGAGCATTGCATCGGCTTCCGTTGCTATGCTGATGACACAATTGTATATATCAACCAAAGTAGATGATAAAACAGAACTTAAGATTGAGGACTAAGCAAACAACAAAAATCTCAGTCTTGTCTCTGCCTCAGCATCATTTTGACTTGGTCTTGTCTTAGTCTCAGGGTACAGTAGACTCAGAAATTGTTCTTGAGACCAGCTGTCCCAGTAACTCACTGCAGTTTCTCGAGTTTACAGTGTGGATCCTCCAGTAGATCGGAGAGTAGCTTCACTCCTGACTCTCCTGGTTGATTGTCAATCACATCCAGCTCTCTCAATTGTGACGAGGTGTTTGATTTTAGAGCTAAGGCCAGAGCTGCAAAGCCTTCATCTGTAATACTGCAGTTATAAAGACTGCACAAAAAAGGAGAAAAATACACTAAGAACTCAGCACACACAAAATACAAACAAAATAAATCAATGAACATAGGTTACATAAAAGCTACAAATATAACAAGTTTTATGTATATGTGTGCATATGTGTTGAAACATATCATAAACATAAAAACATCTAAATATTTACATAAATATGTCAGCCTATTAGTAGTTAGAGATGAGATTGTAATGGAATGATTGAATCTTAATATATAAAAATATAAATAGATAGGTCAGTGCTGAGCACCAGTAATATGAAAAATGCTTGTAAGACAGTGGCCACAAAATCTGCTCAAATGAAGAAAAAAATGTTAAATGTATTTTTTATGATACTGATTTGTGATTAGATTTAAAACTTTTTCACACTTTGTGTTGTGCTACCTAGCTGATATGTGCAGGCGTATCAAATTCGCAAGGACACTTTAGGGCATTTTCTAAATATGATATGTCCTGCAATGTTGTAACATCAGCCTACACCTTTTTACTAGCAGTAGTGCAACAAGGCAACAAAATCAACACCAAGATGCATGAAACCCATCAAGCATCCTAGGTTAAAGCCTATTGGCGCAATAAGCATGAAAAAATGTTTATGGATCATTTATGTCTGAACTTTGAGGGCTATATGTACCAAACTACACATTTGCTGTATAATTTTGACGATGCTTATTTTAGCCTTTATGGTGAAGAAGCATTGTAAGCATCACATGCAAAGGCCAAAAATGCAACACTTTAACACAAGCTGATGTTTTCTAAAATATTTTTGGCTTTTGGAACTAGAAAATGACACTTTTGCAGAATCACTTTTACTGCTGGCCCAGGCACACTTTTGACCACACCTGGAGCTTTACATTCAAAATACACAACACATATATGCATTGATAAAAAACTGTTAAAGAGCTGCTAAAGGACCAGAGCTTGATATCAATTTTTAAGCATTGATTGGAGGGCTGAAAAAATCTGAACCTTTGGAGCAGCCGATTGGACTATACCTTGCATATTCAGGAATGTGGGCTATTTGTTTGTATTAGTTATCACATTTATTTTGTAAATTACATTTACACTAAACGACACCCGTTTTTGCACATGTGAAATGCATTTGCATTATAGTGTGTTTATATATTATTTTTTTCAGCATCCTCTCATCAGTTACTTTCATTAATTGTCTTCATCACTTTTGCTTTATTCTTGCTTATTTCAGTGTTTTGGTCATCTTTGGGTCAATTCAAAATTCACTACTCAAGGTATAGTTATGCTGAAGCAAAACAACCATACAGACTCATCTACATCAACAATGATATTTATCTCACCTCACTGTCTCCAGTTTACAGTGTGGATTCTTTAGTCCAGCAGAGAGCAGCTTCACTCCTGAATCTTGCAGTTTATTGTAACTCAGGTTCAGTTCTCTCAGATATGAGGAGTTTGAGCTGAGAGCTGAGGCCAGAGCTGCACAGCTTTTCCCTGTGATATTACACCAACGCAGCCTGGAAGAGAAATGCAAATATATCAGAACACCATCAGCACACATGCTATATGAAGGGCTGAGAACTATTAAATCCACCCCAGAGGTGATTTTAATCACACTTGTATGTGTGTATGTGCATATGTATGACCTATATCAGGGTAAGATTAAAAAAAGCATTATCTTTTACTGATACACTGATACATCTTTTACTGATGGCTCAAGTTTTAGCCAATATGACTTCTCAACAGCACGTGGATTGACTTCTACAGTGATATACATGGTGATTCTGACAGACTTCTATACACTACAGGAGTGGCTTCCATTCTTTCAGTGCATTACTAATGAAGAAATTCCATGTTGCATTGCTGCACTTCACTCACATTTAGCACATATCAAACTTCAGTCTGCATGATTGGTATGGAGAAAACTAGTGGGATCTCACAAAAGCCCACAATTAATACTTTTTCTTTCTTTAAGTAAATCAAATCTAAAGTAACAGTGCCTTAATATTTTCCATAAATGTTTTTAATAGCTTGCTGCAGTTTTTTTTTTTTACTTAAAAAATGCAGTATGTATGACATTTCACAATGGTAATTCTACCCCTCAAAATTAATTATCAGTTGGTGTACTAAAAGTTGTGTCAAGCATAACATACTTGGAAACTCCAGACATGTTGCTAGCTGCTATCTCATCCTATTGCAAATATGCAACAATGAAATAGGTTCCCATAATTCCCCAAAGACTAATGCACCATGGTGGAGATGGTAATACACGAAAAAATATTTTTGAATCATGGAAAAAAAGTTATGACTTTGTTCTCCATTTTTACAATTTTATAGTGATCATTGTTAAAACTGCATCACATATTGATTGAGCGTGGTTTTAATGAGGTCAGGATTGACAATGACTTTATACCAGTTTGTTAGATCAGTACTCACAGTTTCACTGCTGACATTGCAGCAGCTTTATGTATATCAGTAGATGAAAACATTCAGGCTGTCAGATCAATACAACAAAATGATGTGTAACATCAAAACTGGAAGAAAATCCTCCATTTTTTGCCTATGTGATAATGACTTTCATTCACCATTTCTGATGCTGTTTTATAAACAAAAGTCTAAAAAAGTTGTGAGTGTACAAAAATATAAATAAGAACACACAATGATTTGTAAAACTGTTTTTGATCTGTCTCCAGCTGAGATCAGTAAAAATACAAAATATTTGATGTTCTAACTAATTAACTTTATTGTTTTGTGTGTATGTATACTCATTCAATGTTTGATGCCTGCAGCATGTTCTTACAGGGTCTCTGCTGTCTTATACTGCACTTCATAATGTGCCACGTTTTCAATGGGAGACAGGTCTGGACTGCAGGCAGGCCATAGCACACATTTCCACTTTGCATCAGACCATCTCAGATGAACTGTGTTTACTGACAAGGGTTTTCTGAAATGTTCCCAAGCCCATGTGGTTATACTTATTACAGAAGCATGTCTGTTTTAAAAGCACTGCCATCTGAGGTTTTTTGACCTTGCCTTTTATGCACAGATTTCTCCAGATTCTCTTGAATTTTTTAATAATGCTATGCACTATAGATGGTAAAATCTCTACATTTCTTGCAATCATGTGTTGTGAAACATTGTTCTTAAGCTGTTAGACTATTCCCTTCCTTTTAGACCCAATTGTGATAGCTTCACCTGTTACCGCATCATCTGTTACATATACACCTGATACTGTAAAATATTGAATATTTATTAAAAAATTATTTTCAGCTAAATACCTGTAAAAGACAGTTTACAAATCACTGCTTTCTGTTTTTGTGATCATCTTACCTCAGTGTCTCAACTTTACAGTGTGGATTCCCCAGTCCAGCAGAGAGCATCTTCATTCCTGAATCCTGCATAGTTTCATTGTAACTGAGGTCCAAGTGTCTCAGACTTGACATCTTTGAGCTAAGAGCTGAGGTCAGAGCTGCACAGCCTTTTTCTGTGAGACCACAATTAGACAGCCTGGGATAAAACACATAGGAAAACACACTTCAAAATGAGATCTCTTTTAAAGATCTATATTTCCTAGAAAAAGCAATATTTCCTGAGCAAGTTTTAAGATGCAGAGCCTTTTTCTCGTCAAACAAATTCCAAGTTCTCTAATGAGAAGCAAAGCAAACTTTTTGTTTTAATAAGCAATAAACTGAGAGTTCTATAGCTCTATTTATGACTAAAACAGAAAGTACCAAAAGGAAAAATACAGCTCACTATTAATATCTTATGAGACACAAGGTTCTCATTTTATGATCATCTAGGATTCACTGTTTTAAGTCCCCTTTGGAGCAGTAAAGAGATGAAGAAGAGATTGCTGAAGTCACACCTGAGTATTCGAGATTCAGTGTGACAGAAATGTTACTCATCAACGTCTGATAAAAATGTAATAACTTAAAATGAAGATGAGCTCATTTGCATTAACTTTTATGTTTAGTGCTCAAAGCCAGGCATAGGTGACAAATCTATGGCATAATGGTTTACACTTGTTGCTAATTTCTCTTTCACCATGCAGAAAAATTAGCAGCAAATATAAAGTCAGACATAGATAAGAAAACTAACATAATGGTTTGCAGTGAACGTTTCATGTTCTCCCCACTGCTTTTCACCCATCCTGTAAAGACAGATATCATAGGTCCTTAACCCTGGTTAGACTATCGCCTCCTCTGAACATTTTAAAGTTATCTCTTCTTTAACTTTCCCTCTTCAAGTGGGGCATTCCAGGATTGGAAAACAATTACAAATGATAATATATTGGGGAATAATGATGAAAATATGCTTACATATTTTCAAGTAAATCTTAGACTGATCTCATTGCTTCTCATTGTTTTTCCTTAACACTGACATCAAACTAGATCTAAATATAAAGGATAGACCTAAGGGCTCATCTATCACTCATGATTACAAAATGCTGCTAAAATTATCTCAGTTGTGACTAACAATTACTACTTTCAGAAGATCAGAAAGATTTTGTGAGCAACTTTTTTATGGGAATTAAAAAATATTTTAAGCATTGTGTGTGTGTCTGTGTGTGATTGCACTTCTCACATTCAAGCACATCAAAATGGTACAGTCAAAATTTGAAAAAAATCCTCAAATTCTTCAACAGCCAGTATTTCTCAGTGTGTCAGTTTTTGAAAATATTTGTGTGTATGTGTGATGTACATCCACATAAATACAGTGATTAACTTACTTCAGTTTCTCCAGTTTACAGTGTGGATTCTCCAGTCCAGCAGAGAGCAGCTCCACTCCTGAATCCTGCAGTTCATTGTAACTGAGGTCAAGTTCTCTCAGACTTGAGGAGCTTGAACTGAGAGCTGAAGATAGTATTTCACAGCTTTTCTCTGTGAGATTACACTCACACAGTCTGGGAGATAAATTACATCAGAGGACACACAAACAGAGACAATAACAAAAATAATTAAAAGTAAAAACACTTTCTCTCACATGCATGCAAAAGTACACATTAAGTGTTTCCACATCTTCAACATGTGAGAATAACCTCTCCAACAGCTGCAGTTGTTTGTACATCAGGAGCCAGGGCATCAACAGGATCTAGCTAAACACGAGATTTCTAGGATATGATCCCGTTTTCACTGTAAGTATTTCTCTCAAATCTATTTAGTGCTAAGCTGGTTGTTTCCCATATGTATATTGGTTCCACTATGACTGGCAAACAAAGAGTTTTAGTGGTGCACCCCTTAATCCTGTATGTGCCCCAGAACAACCTTCAGTCTCCAACACCCCTAAACCTCTCATTTGAGGATGGGCTCATCTTAAGATCCCTTCCTTTTCATCCTGTCCCTTTCTTCATATTAATCCTACCCTCTCTTCTCATACATCCTTTCCTCCCATAAAATTCCAGATCCTCTGTCCTGCAGTTGCTGACCTGGGTTATAGTCCTTTAATGAATTATATCAACAAACTTTGCATCTCTGCTCACATAACCCACAGTGATTTCGCCTGCAATTGTTGCAAATTGGGACACCTTAAAAAGACCACTGCTTTACCTCTCCAGGTTAAACGTCTACTCTCAAACTCTCAGTCACATAGTCACATAGTCTGACACTGGCTGAGTATCTGACTCTAGAAGCCTGTGCAGGACCAATTTTTGTCCTGCTCTCACAAGATTTCATCCTGCTCCTGCAGAAATTCTGCACCATTTGTCCCCCTCACACCCACAAGCAAAACGGTTGGTCCCACATTGAGGACGTTGGTGCAGCACCGCCTGCACTCAAGGATGCCCGTGTCTGCCCCACATGTACCAGAACACAACCCATCATGTGTATGCCACCAGCACTGCCCTCCCTGACCTGTCGAACTCAGTGTTCCGTGACCCGCCGATCTCCATGCCTCATGACTGGTGGGTGGCCTCTGAATCTCCTGTTCTGCCAATCACTGCTGAGCCTATACCCCGATCACAGTTTTGCTCTCCCACTCTATATTTGGGCTTTTGTTGGGGGTGGGATGTTCGCTCAGGCCAGGTCCCTGGCCTGAGTTGGGTGATGGGGGTAGGTGCCAGGCACTTTAATAGACATTATATTTGATCTCAGGGTCCTTGCTGCAGAGCAGGGTTGGGGCCAGTTAACTTTCTTTTCCTTTAGGCTTAGGTTATGCTGCCCTTAATAAGTTGATGCTGATCTTGCATGGGCAGCATGGGCACCTTTAAAAGGAGAAGAGAGGGAACAGAGAAAGAGGAGAGGAGCAAGCTGCAGCTGTATCAGAAAAAGACTGACAAGCTAACAAGCTTGCCTTAAAGAAAGAACTGAAAAGTCTAGAAGTCACAGAGAGGTGGCAGGATTTTGTTTTGTTTGTGTTTGAATGTAAAATAAAGAGAATATGTTTGCTGCAAATGTTTCTGCTGCATCCTTCCTTTACCTGGGGTAGCAGAGGCTCTGGTGCATTAATGAAAAGCTTGATTAGAATAAAAAGCTTAACTTGAATGAAAATTCCGGTCCTGTATCAAGGGCTCCTAAATATTTTCCAAGTTTCATTTTTTTCTAAACCCACATCCATTTCAGATATTTCTGTAGATGCACTGGTTAACTTTCATTGGCTGGAAATATTCATATATTAGATGTATTTTATGTATTTAATTTTCACATTTACAGATCAAAAATATAATTTACATCATATTCCTCACTCTCCTATCTGTTAAGGACTCTTGAATATCATGTACTGTTAGACGATATTGTGATGTAATATGTTTCCCTGCAAAGACTCACATAACTCTTCTGCATGCTTTGACCACTGGCAGGAGCATCAAGAGACCTTCTTCTGATGGATCATATTTAAGTAGGTCAAAATCATCCAACTCTTCTTCTGAGTTCAGCAACACAAACACCAGAGCTGACCACTGGGTAGGAGACAGCCTGGTACCACTGAGACGACTATAACCTCTTGCATTCACATATGTTTGGACTTCTTTCACTAGAGAATGATCATTCAGTTCATTCAGACAGTAGAACAAATTGATGGATTTCTCTGGAGAGGGATTCTCCCTGATCTTCTCCTTGATGTACTGGACTGTTTCCTCTTTGCTGTGAGAGCTGCTTCCTGTCTGTGTTATTAGGCCTCGTAAGAGAGTCTGATTGGACTCCAGTGAGAGGCCCAGAAGGAAGCGGAGGAAAAGGTCCAGGTGTCCATTCTCACTCTGTAAGGCCTTGTCCACTGCAGACTTGAGGAAGTCTGACAGTTTGGACTTTCTGAAAATATCAGAGAGATCCATGGTCACCTGTTCTGTTACATCTTTGCTGATAAAGGAGAGAAATGCATATAAAGCAGCCAGAAACTCTTGAACACTCAGGTGCACAAAGCAGAACACCCTTCCCAGGTACAGCCCAAACTCCTCTCTGAAGATTTGGGTGCAAACTCCTGAGTACACTGACACTTCTCTGACATCAATGCCACACTCTCTCAGGTCCTCCTCATAGAAGATAAGATTGCCTTTCTCCAGCTGTTGGAAAGCCAGTTTTCCCAGTGCCAGAATCATCTTTCTAGTCTGTTGAAGATCAGTGTCACATTTACCATGGTACTTTTGGTCCTTGTGTTTGATCTGAAAGATCAGGAAGTGGGTGAACATTTGAGTCAGAGTCTTGGGGATCTCTCCACTCTCTGCTCCACCCAACACTCTCTCTAGAACAGTGGCTGCAATCCTACAGAAGACTGGGATGTGGCACATGATGTAGAGGCTTCTTGAGGACTTCATGTGTGAGATGATTTTATTGGCCAGGCTCTGGTCACTCTTGATTCTCTTCCTGAAGTACTCCTCTTTCTGAGGGTCATTGAACCCTTGTATCTCTGTTAACAGGTCAACACACTCAGGAGGGATTTGGTTGGCTGCTGCTGGTCGAGAGGTTATCCAGAGGAGAGCAGAGGGAAGCAGATTCCCCTTGATGAGGTTTGTCAGCAGCTCATCCACTGAGGCTGAATCTGTTACATCCCACAAGCTCTCATTGTTCTGGAAATCTAGAGGAAGTCGACACTCATCCAGACCATCAAAGATGAACATGACTTTGTGGGCATTACTGTCTACTGATCTCAGTCCTTTTATTTCTGGGAAAAAGCAATGAAGAAGCTCCATCAGTTTGAGCCTCTTCTTTATCAAACTGAGTTCCCTAAAAGGAAGTGGAAATATGAAGAGGACATCCTGATTTGCTTTTCCTTCAGCCCAGTCCAGAATGAACTTGTGCACAGAGATTGTTTTGCCAATTCCAGCAACTCCTTTAGTCAGCACAGTTCTGATGGGTCTGTCTTTAAAGAGGTCGTTGCACTTGACGGGTTTCTCCTCTGTTGCTGGTTTCCTGGATGTAGCCTCAATCTGTCTGACCTCATGTTCATTATTGACCTCTCCACTCCCTCCTTCTGTGATGTAGAGCTCTGTGTAGATCTCATTCAGATTTGCTGACTTTCCACATTGGAACATTCCTTCATTAATGCTATGAAATTTCTTCTTCAGTTTTTGTTTATAGACAGCCAACAAATCTGATAAGCAGACACAGACAACAAAAATATTAATAAAAGTTTTGGAGTAAATACAGCCATTTGTAGACTAATTGTCTTACATTTCTCCATTAGTTTGGACTTGTTATTGAGTTTGTCGATTTCTTGCAAGCAGATGTGGCCAACAACAACAATGTTTCAGTAGAACTATTTCACAGTGTTTCTTTATACAAATCAATATCATAGTTGTCATAGGACCAAATATTACACATCATTTACTAAACGCCTCTGAAATTATTTTGGAAATTAAGTGCAACAATGGACTCTAGGACTCAAATATTTCACGGCACTACATAGCATTAAAATGTCTGGAATCCTTAAACTTAAGTATAAGTTTAATACAATACATAATGTGCCCAAAGAACATTTAAAAGAACTGTACTGAATAAATATCCAGTGATATCTGCAGATGAATCAGGAACTTTGTATTTGATGTTTTATATGATTAATTTAAATCATTTTAAGTTTTCAGCTTGACATGAAAGAGGCTGTGAATTAATTAGTGTTTAAAAAATGTTCCATGATTCCATGTTCCATGAAAACAAAAACATCCAAGGACCGGTGAATACTATTTTCTAGGCAATGCACATACACCTTACCTTCACTGAGAGCAGGAGCATCAGGAGAGCCTTCAGCCTGAACATTGCTGATACTTAAACTGGAAGCCTCCTGGCCTAGAGGCAATATAAATCAGTTAAAAATCTATATAAATATAACAACCTACAAGTTGAGAGAAATAAGAACCCAGAAGTAGAGCCAGATTCATAAAAGTCACAGAGCTATTCTTAAAGTCAGCTCCACATGTAGCTCTTTTACTGCCCTGTTCCCGCTCAACAGCAAAATTAGGTTTTTAGGTAAAAATAATCCCCCTTTGCAGTAAAATAAAGCTCTGCTGATCGTTCAACACAGTTTAACAATAAATGGTCTTAAACTCTGGAGTTAATGTAGAACTGCTAATTCACCCTTTAACCCTGAAGATCAGCGCAGACTGCTGGTCACCATAGCAACACAGACAGCAATCTCACCAAGCTAGTAGCTAACGAAAAGGCAATGAGAGAGATTTAAGAACAACATTGATCATTTGGAGATGAATGGACTGATTTGTATTTATATTCACTCAGCTGATTTCCTGATATGTTTAATCTGCAATAAGAAACCGCCAAACACTAAAAAGGCTGAAGTCGCTTCTCATTCACTGGCTTGTGTGATTTTCCCATTACACCTTAAATGTACATGCTGGCACCTCAGGCACCATTTAAGGTGGAACAGGAAAATCACACAACAAGCTGGCGAATGAGAAGCGACTTCAGCCTCATAAAAAGTCAAACGTTTGGAGATGTCTTATGATAAACTCTTCCACTTTTACAGAAAAGTTTCCTGCCAGAGATGCAAGAAAAACTGCTATAGCTGAGCTATAGCTTAAAGCAGAGCAAAGTAAGTCTATTTTCACTTACATTTTTAGCCTACTAGTACATAAGCATGTACTGAGACAATTTTCCAGCCAAGCTGGTAAAATGGACATAAAATACTGTGGTTCCCAAGGTGGTTTGATTTTTGTTGAAAGGACAAAATGGCTCTTTTTGGGTTGCTGACCTCTGGCATAGACAGTAGCAAGCTAAATTCACAGGTAAATGTGCTCATACATATTAAAGACCTGCTTTTTATGAATCTGGCCCATAGCGTGGAGGATACAAGGAAAAAACTTCTACTGCTTATTGAATATCACATTAAAATGAAACAAACAAACAGGAATTCATGGCCATTCCAGCTGAATATACAGCTTATCTGTAGATTTAACTGCTCAGCTTGACAAAAAGATTCATTTACATAAAACCTGTTTCTCAACCGTCACTTACCTCCAGTTATGTTCACAACTGTAACCGAGCCTTGAAAATGGTTTCCATGGAGAAGAGGAGCACAAATGTTTCCTCCTGTCTGAGCTGTTATGTTGGTCAGGACAGGATCGACATGAGCTGGAGTGGAAGCTTCCATCTTCTAGCTAAAACGTTATTGATCAAGTCAGAAACAAATATTTTGGCAGTTGAAACTCCAGCAGTTTCCTCTGTTCTTTCTCACCAAAGATTATTTTTGTTCCTTTCTCTTCATAAAATCACCAATGGTGAAGATTTCAATTCCATTTTTAACTGGGTTGGGCTGGATTAGCTCACCACCACAGGATGTAGCAGTAGAAGATTATTCACAGGCTGAAGAGGATGGAATGATGTGCTGCTTGACCAATCACAGCAAACGGGCTAAACCACTGGGAGTGGTGCATTTGGATAGGACGGAGTACTATGTATTGCATGGTAAAAAAAACTGGCAAATTTATCACATGAACAAAATGTGTGCCTGCAGGGACGGACATCTCTCACAGGTACCACATTACAATGAGATTACCTTTATATCTGACACTGTTACTCTGTATTCTATTCAAGTAACTTCATCAGTGGAATATAATTTCAATGTGCCGTTGAATGATTTTTTTTTACTTTAGTCTCTGTGTTTATAGGTGTTTGTAGGCCACAGCATTTGCTTAATGACTGGGTTAGTTCTGCTCCCGATATCTCTTTAGTTTCTTCTGGGCAATAATGAGATCAGATGAGTAGCTGAAGTCGCTGCTTCTACTCAGATGCCTCTAGAGAAAAAGAGTTCAGTAATATCACGTCTCCTCTGGAGTTTTAGCTCAGATTTGCCTATATAAGTATAGGTACCTATATAAGTGACTATATATATATACAGTATTTACATTACATAATAGCTGTAATCTACACACATGTATTAAACCGTACATCATGATATTAAGCTGTAAGACAATGGAAATACCTTGGTTTTTAATCATCCTGTACCAAGGCTGAAGGGGGAAAAACCAGACAGCCCTTCTAATGAGTGAATCAGCTTGTATAATCTCCATAAAAAAGCACTGACCAAAAGAATTGGACAGTTTGTAGCAGCCAACCTTGACAAGCATGGGCTAGAGGGGCATAAAGCCCCCCAGCATTGGGCTGTGGAGCAGTTAAACTGTGTTCTCTGGAGTGATGGAGGTCCATCCAGTACCTTTGGGATGAGTTGGAGTGTCCATAACTGACCATCCAACATCAGTACCTGACCTCACTAATGCTCATTAAAATCCTCACAGCAATGTTCCAACATCTAGAAGCCTCCCCAGAAGAGTAGAGGCTGTTACTGCAGCACAAACTCATTAACACCTTCATTTCAGATGAAACACTACGGGAGTGTAAACTTCCTCCACTCATTGGCTGCACCCAAATGACCTCCTTCAGTTGAGGCTTCAGTAAAAACCGACTGAACTGCTCTTTATCTAATGTAGAATTACATCATTCATAAACATCGGCTCAGATTTACATACTCACCGTGTTTCCTGAAGTGCTCTTTGTTCCTCTCTTCATTAAGCGAAGCTGCTGAGCTTCACATACACTCAAACTGGTTTGGACTGGTTTATTTTACCTGAAAAGGAGGTTAAGCTTCCCCATCATATTTAAAAAAAAACAATTCAAAGTCTGTTTCCCACATACTTCCTCTGCGTGATAGTACCTGCACCACACGCAATGGCCATTCACATGTACAGCATTTGCTCTGCAGAACGGAGAGTTTGACACACATCTTTCTTCCAAACAGATAAACTCTGCTCTGCTCAATAAAAAAATCATTGATAAAAGATGATACATCTGTTTACCCTGATGGGCCCCTGAGACCGAGAAATCATTTTTGAAATTTAGTTTTTTCATAGAACATTTTTTACTGTGTTCTGCTGTGTGGCACTGGCATGTGGAGAAAATGTGACTCACTGAATGCGCTGCCAGTGTAAGCGCTCTGACCTGTTAACATTTAAATGTCAAATGTCATGTTTAAAAACAGCAACACATGGTATATGTCCCTGACTCGTATAAATACCTTATAATTTCAAGTGTAATTTACCAAAATGGCAAAACAATTACATCATATTACATTGTTTTCAAAATAGTTGGGAGGCTGTGCAAAATGTAAATAAAAAACAGAATGCAATGATATGCAAATCATTTAAACACTATATTTCATAGAAAATAGTACAGAGATAACATTTCAAAAGTGGAAACTCTGAAATTTTATTGTTTTTTGAAAAACATATGCACATTTTGAGTTTGATGCCAACAACATAATTTTAAAAAGTTAGGATGGGGGCAAAAAAAGACTGGTAAAGTTGTGTAATGCTAAAAAAAACAAAAAAAAAAACAACAACAACAACAAAAAAAAACACCTGGTGGAACATCTCACAACTAAGACTGGGCTTACTGGCAACAGGTCAGTAACATGACTGGGTATAAAAGAGCATCTCAGAGAGGCGGAGTCTTTCAGAAGTAAAGATGAGGAGGGGTTCACCACTCTGTGAAAGACTGCACAGGCAAGAATAATGTTTCTCAATGCGAATTATAAAAGATCTTGGAAATTTCATCATCTACAGCAGAACATCATTAAATGATACAGAGAATCTGGAGAAATCTCTGTATGTAAGGGACAAGGCTGAAAACCAGTATTTGCTGGCCGTGATCTTTGGGCCCTCAGGCAGCACTGCAGAAACACTTTCGAAAACCACTGTCTGTGAACACAGTTCATCAATGCATCCACAAATGCAAGTTAAAAGTCTATCCATACAAGGAAGAAACTTTACATAAACAGGATCCAGAAACACTGCTCATTTAAAATGGACTGAGACAAAGCCCCTGTGGTCCGACGCATCAAAATTTTTAATTCTTTTTTGGAAATCGTGGACGTTGCATTCTCCGGGCTAAAGAGGAGACGGACCATCCAGATTGTTATCAGAGTTGTTATCACAGTTAAAAAGTCAGCATCCGTGATAGTATAGATGTGCATTAGTGCACATGGCATGGGTGACTTGCACACCTGTGAAGGCACCATTAATGCTGAATGATATATATGCAGGTTTTGGAACAACATATGTTGCCATCCAGACGACGTCTTTTTCAGGGAAGGCCTTGCTTAAGAATGGGAAACATTTCACTTTTAAAACGACAGCAGTTGGGGTAACACAGGGGTAAACAAGCCCCCATCCCAACTTTTTTGAAATGTGTCGTTGGCATCAAATTCAAAATGGGCATATATTTTTCACAAACAATAAAAATTCTGTTTTAACATCTCATATGCTGTCTTTGTACAATTTTCAATTAATTGTAGGGTTTCAGTGATTTGCACATCCTACAGTCTTCCAAGTTTTTTGGTTGTACCTTCGGTTTGTAAGTGTTAACATGTATACAGCATCTAATGAAAACAGCTTTAAGAAAGTCTCACAGTGTAAAGCCAGGCTTAGGGTTAAACCTGACTCTGTTTTCTTTTACTCTTAAAACTTCATCCCTCTCTGACTTCTCAGAGTTCTCCTGCCCTGATGCTAAATTTTCCACTATGACAAAATTTCTCGCTGTGCCCTCAATGATCACCCTACTAACAAAGACCAAAGGACCACTAGGGTTAAAACCTGATAGTTTTCTTCCTAATGGGAACAGACTTAACGAGCATCATCAGAGACCACTAGTTTCCTAAAGAACACCTTTAGATCCTATTCAAGACAACTCACCAGTGGCTTTCATCACTCAGTATGATGTAGTGACCTTCTAGTCTGGCTGTTAGCATTGATAATTCCACAGCCAACACAGCAGCACTGAGGAGCAGAGACCATACTGGACTCTCTAAGATCAACGTGGTCCAAATAAAGAACAATAGCTGGGTCCATTCTGTAGGTTAATCATAGTTTTTTGATTGACTGTAATATAAACAGTTGATATTATGTTAAGCTCAGATTATATAATAAATCAATCACCAAGAAAGAAATTGCTGAGGGACGGCACTAAAATGCAGTAAATTAATAAAAAGAATTATACTTTTAAAAGAGAAAAACACTGCTTTTAAAGTTTATTAAAAACATTCAAGTTTAATAAATTAGTGAAAAAAGTTTAGAAGTACATTCAATTCACTAGCTCTCACATCTGTCTCTCTCACACACATACACACATAGGGAGTGTCCCATCTCATCTCCAGGCGTTGACCTTTGACCCTGACCTGTGGGATTGGGCTCCACTGCGGCGCCCTCGTGAGGTGGTGCTGGGAGCAGAGCGGGACGGAGGCTGACGCTGCTGAAAAAGTAGAGAAACCCTCAAAAAATTAGGGATATTTAATATAATGTGTGGTAGAGAACATACAGCTCTGCTAATATAGTTTCACTGCGCAGATGGGTTAAATGCGGAGGTGGATTTCGCTGTTGAGGGACTAATAAAGGGTAATTTTACTTGTGCTGCCCCTGCAGTGGAATAAATGTGAAGGTTCTGAAGTGACCTTTTTGAACAGGTCCAACTGAAAAATCTCGGTTACTATAATTTGTATAACAAGTGTTGTATTCTGTGATGATAAACATCTTAATCTGAGCAGTATTACTGAATAAAATGATCAGTGCTATGTTCTAAAAATGCTAAGCAGCTTATATGTTCAGCCAGTGGTATGTAAACGTACAAGCAGAACTACAAACAGAAACACATGATGAATCTTTTAACAAAACTTTTCAAAGCCACACTGATGACTAACCAGGTAACCATAAATGACTCATATTTCAGGCAGACAGCTATCTAACCACAGATAGACTCTCTGCCCTGATTTTAGTTCTAGTTTTAGACATCAAACATTTCAAAACCAAGGCCTGGAAAAACCAGCCAGCCAACATTATATCATCCACTCTGACACAGGACAGTGTATCTAAATATCAATTTAACTAGACAATTATATAAAAAAAACATTTTCTAAGTGTCACACAGCTTCATTTCAGGGAGTGGTGAAAGCCTCAGCTGAAGTGATGAAACCCACATTCGTAACCTTTAACTTGATAACTTGTCCGGCCCAAGGACTGCAGAGCAGGGGCTCCCAATACCTGGTGACCCAACACAGCACAGCTCACTCAATTCAACTTGTTAACTAACTAATAAGCTCCTTGTTGGCTGATCAGGTGTGTAGCGAAGCAACAATATGTGCAGAGCAAAGGGTTTTAAGGTTGTATCTTCTGACCTTTTTAGGAAAGATGATGCAGCCCAGATGTCCAGATGATAAAAAGTTGGTGTGAAACCCCACAGATTTACATGATGTAGCTGCCATATAGATACACTCACAATACTGCAAATTTAGAGTTGGCTGACTGAAAAAACTGACAGAAAAAACAGAGAACTATAAACTCAGCCTATTGGCTACTTTCTGTTTTCTGAGTCACTCTGCTGCCCCTCTTTGTCCAGTAAACACGAGCTCATTTAGAAGCAAGAACAAAGATGTGCAGGAGTGAGAGACATGTTTGCATCTCACCTCTCTCTTTTCGTTCTGTGCTAGTTTGCGGTCCAGATTGGCTCTGACTGGGTCAGTGCAGGGTTCCTCCGGCCTAAAACATCGATAATCAGACAATAACTCCAAAATGTACTGTGTGGGGCTGAACAATTGTGTTTTTATTACTGGAAATCTCAAGTTGCATTTTTAATTATATATTACATTGTTCACAGATGTTTTTAATTTTTTTTCACTTGAAATTTTAAACTTAATAACCTCTTCAGCTTCTTCTCTAACATTTGAATGGAAAGTGGGAAAAAATCCATTAATTGATTTTCAGACTCTACTTTCATCACTTTTGACAGTTGCTAAGTTTAGATTTACAAGTTTAATTGATTAAGTATTTGGATTTCCAACAACTTTGGAAAAATATTTAAGATGTTCAATACAAGCAGCCACAGAAGCGTAATTTAAATAAAATAATCACATTTAAATCACAATTGGACACCTTCCTCCGATCGTTCAGCCCTGACCGTTAGGATAACGGTGTAATTATCAGCTTGTAAGTGTGCAGCACTGAAACACTCATCATTATTTAACGGTTTGTGAAGTGTTAGTGTCATAGTTTGCTGGTAGAACACAGACCTGATGAGGCTGCCGAGGAGCTGCTGGAGTTGCTGGTTGGTGGGCGTCTGAGGTAACGCCAGGCGGAGGAGCCCAGCCAGCTGTTCCAGCTCTGGGTCAGGCTGCCCCTGCAGGACTGAGGGTGTGACCTGTGGTCCACAGGTTGTGTGTGTGGAGGAGGGAGGGTTTACGGCTTGTGGAGGAGCTGGTGCTCGAGTGAGGAGGGAATTCACCGGAGCTCTCAGCCCAGAGGAGAAACTGTCCCACTGAGAGTTTACGCCTGTATGTATACATATTAGAGACATATTAGAGGATGGACACACCTGAGTTAGTCCAGTCATCTCAGCCTCAGAAGCTCCGGCCCACATAGTTACACAGACCAGACGTCTACTGTATGCTGTAACTACCAGAGTTTTGCCGGTTAATCTGTATTGCTGATTCCTGACTTCCATTCACCAGTTATCAGTCCAACAGAAGAAACTTATCAAGCTTAATGCTGTCCAGCTGTAGCAAGCAGTTTCCTTTCTGATCACCATGACAACAAGCCTTTCTATAGGAGGGGACTTAAAAATACATTACTACACTTATATTTATACTTAAATGAACATTTTCCATCATTCTTTATCTCTTAGAATTTAACAGGCAGTTTTGTTACTGGGCCTTTAAAGCTGATATATGTAAATGAGCTCTGATCTGACTGACTATCCTGTATTACGCTTGGTTCACTCTGGGCTGAAACACTCCTTATATTTTCAGTATGAATGGGCAAAGCTAGGCTGCTGTAGATCGAATAGGCATAAATATCATTGCTCTCCAAAGAAAAACAAGTATGTCCAAAATAGTAACTTTACAGGAGAGACAAAAACATTCTTACCTTTCAGTGTAAGTCAATGTAAAGAGATTTTATTCCAAGTGATTTTAGAGCATTTCTATTGGTCCATTCATCATGAAATTTTCACACAATGTAAAGGACAACTGGTGTGTTGAAAAGATGTAGAAAAATAAAAATCGACAAAAATGGAGATACATAGTTTGCTTTGGACAGCGACGATACGCAAATACATTGAGTTTCATGACATCACAAAAACAGGGAAATCAAACCAGGCTGTGTTTAGAGCTTTGTTTCTCTGTATGCACTGTACAGTGTATATACAGGGGACTGCATGGCACACTGTGTAGCTTGAACAATGTTTATATACTACATTAAATACTACTCCTACTATTCTCGTAAATTTTTTAGGCCCTTTTTTTTAGAACTTCCTGTCTTTAACTGTCATTCACTAGCTTTGCTTGAAGCAATTAGTAGTTAGTAAACGAGATATTCCCGCCTGTTTGATGATGCATACCGTTTTATTTCATACAAGGTCCATTACCATGATAAATATCAAGCAACAACACCAGTTTCTGATTGGCTGCCTTTGTATCCAGCAAAGGGCTACTTTCCTGACAAGGTTCTTGGCCATAAAGCCACAAAACCTCACCAGACTCTCTGATGACTGCCAGTAGTCTGGCCAGATTAACACTCACCTGGGTTAACCGACTGTGTTTCTGCTTCACGCTGCTCCGCTGGCTGCTCCTCCAGAGGATCACCAGGAGAACGATCCAGCAGCTGGAGCAAAAAGAAGAACGACAAACAGAGAATTAAACTCACTATATGGAATCAAGCTGCTTTTGATACCTAAGGGTCTGAAATTTCCCAGTTTTGTTCAAATATGCAATAAAATATGCTTCTTCCACAAGCACAACTGCACAGTCACAAATTCAAACATCTAAAAATGGAGATTCATAATGAGAGAGAACATGCTTCAAACTCCCCGACTTCACTAAACTTTCAAAAGTAATTTTTATTTAAAAGTTAAAGATCTAGGAAAGAGTAAAGATTTATTGTTGCGCTCTGTAAAACATAAAGTAGGTTACTGCAGGTGTGTAAAGCAACAACACTGAATGAAAACTGAATAGAGACAGTTTTGTCCACTCACTGCTGAAAACTCAGCAAACACACACCGATCAGGCATAACATTCTGACCACCTCCTTGTTTCTATGCTCATTGTCCATTTTATCAGCTCCACTTACTATATAGGTGCACTTTGTAGTTCTACAGTTACAGACTGTAGTCCATCTGTTTCTCTGATACTTTGTTAGCCCCCTTTTACCCTGTTCTTCAGTGGTCAGGACCCCCATGGACCCTCACAGAGCAGGTACTATTTGGGTGGTGGGTCATTCTCAGCACTGCAGTAACACTGACGTGGTGGTGGTGTGTTAGTGTGTGTTGTGCTGGTCTGAGTGGATCAGACACAGCAGTGCTGCTGGAGTTTTTAAACACCTCAGTGTCACTGCTGGACTGAGAATAGTCCACCAACCAAAAATATCCAGCCAACAGCGTCCTGTGGGCAGCGTCCTGTGACCACTGATGAAGGACTAGAGGATGACCAACACAAACTGTGCAGCAGCAGATGAGCTATCGTCTCTGACTTTACATCTACAAGGTGGACTGACAAGGTAGGAGTGTCTAATAGAGTGGACAGTGAGTGGACACAGTGTTTAAAAACTCCAGCAGCACTGCTGTGTCTGATCCACTCAGACCAGTGCATCACAGTTTTCTATGCTATTTTCAATGTTAAAAATCCTGGCATTTCCCCTGAAAGGCTTTTGGAAAACGTGTCGCTGGTCTAAGAATGAGGCGACAGTCACACAGGAATGTAAATCTGTCCGTTACCTTTGAGATGTAATACTGCAGTTCATTCTGTCGGTCTTCACCCAGAGACGAACCGCTGGTCCCAGTGGGAGGAGCTCTTTCTTTGATTGACAGGGACTGTTCTTTCATGGGCAGAGCTTTACTTCCTGCACTGCTATACTTCTCTACAGATACGTCACATCTCCCCACCCCCTTCTCTGAGCTGTAGCTCTGATTGGTTAGTCTCTCTGAGGAGGTGTGTACCTGATTCAGTCTGACGCTCTGATCTGGATTCTGATTCGTTTGCCTGTTCACACACTGTTCAAACTGACTCCTGATGCGGTTCGAATCAGAATATGAATCCTGATTCCTGAAATGATTCGAAGTCTGATTCAGAGTTTGACCCGAACTCTCTCCATGACTTCTTACAGTTGATCCCGTCTCTACTGCTTCCCCTCTTATGCCCCGTCCTTCCGCCCTCTCTCTCTGTTCTTTCTCTCCCTCCCTCTATTCTTTCTCTCCCTCCTTCCCTCTGTTTCTCTCCTCCTACAGGCCTGTCCCAGAGACTGGTCAAATCACTGCCTCCCACAGCTGCAAACACAAACAAACAAACAAACAAACACTTATTTTGATACTTTTTTAGGGTGTTATGTCAAATAGAAATAAATTTGCAATGAAAAATTACTGTTTATTTACTGAATTTAATATATTGGACAAACAAAAATAAAAAATAAGTAATGGCACATTTTATATTTATTTTATACATGCTTTTAAGTTAACTTTAGTTAATAAACAGTAATTGTGGATTAAAATGTGTTCTAAATATATAGGATGCATTAACTTTTCTTGAAAGTTTTCAAACTGTTGCATACAACAGTACACATGCACACACACACACAGACACACCAAAAATTACAAAAACAGAAATGTGATAGCAAAGATATATATATAAAATGTCCCATACATATTATATGTAAGTATATGTAATAGTAATAATTACTATATATTTACAACAACCACAATATTTGTACTAAATATGTAAGTCTCTACATGTAATAATAATATATCCAATATAAATATAATACATATATATAAAAAAAACACATTTTTCCATGTTTATTTTTCTACATCACTAGAACACAGTAGTTGTGTGTAAATTTCATCATGAATGGACCAATAGAAATTTTCATGTTACTTGGAACAACATGTTTTTACATCAATTTAAATTAAAACTTAAGAACATGTATGACTTTTCTTATAAAGTTAATTTTCCGGACTCGTTTATTTTTGGACAGTGATGATAAGTGACTATCTGCATGTAATAAATCTGTAATTATGACCCTAATCTTAACCTCAGGAAACATAAAGAAATGATTTTACTCTTTCAGTTTAAAAAAGAAAGATGGAGCTTTTGTTAAAATCACTCTACAGTGTCAGGAGTAACGTGTTATTCCTGTAGGTTCAGTTATCTAGAAGCTCTGACTGACAAAAGCCTCATGAATTCCCTGCGGCGTAGCGCTGCTATGTACCTGTGAGGTTAGTGTCGTCCAGCACCGGCTCCAGAGGACGGAACACGTGACTGTGATCTAACAGGCCGAAATCACTCTCTCCTCTTCCTCTCTCCACTCTGACCTCCTCCTCTCCCTTCATCCCTCGCTCCCTCTCTCTGGACAGATGCAGAACCACAGCCTGAGGAGCAGCTGGGAAGATGGAGGAAGAAAGGGATGAGGGACAGGAAGAAAAAGACAAACAAAATAAAAATACAATGCAAAAAGACCAGTGATCATTATAATAATAATAATAATAATTATAATAATTATAATAATAATAATGATTTACTTATAACTGCCTATCAAGTCTCCTAATGATGCTGTACAATTGAAAACAAATTCTAAAAGAAGTTCAACATAAAATTCTACCATCATCAAACAGTCTGGATGGAAATAATAATAATAATTATAATAATAATAATAATAGTAATAGGATCAAAAATGAAGTAACAAATTAATAAAGGTGTCAAATGCAGAGGGAGTGAATTTTGTTATGTAATCTAATCTAATCTACAGATCAAGACACTATGCAGGGGCTCTGCAGGGGCTTGAGAGGAAAAAAGGCAGCCTGAATATTTATTAAACAGGAAAAAACTGTATATATATATATATATATATATTCATATATCCACATACATACATACATACACACACATATATATATCCAATCGTCAAACAGTGTGTATACCTGAAGCGAGTGTGTTAGCTGTGCTGCAGATGCTGCTGTCTGGATCATGAGGGGAAGAGTGGGGTTTAGAACCGTCCCACAGAGACATGGGAGAAAACATCCCATCAGCCTAACACACACACACACACACACACCCACGCACACACACACACAAACACACACACACACACAAACACACACAGGAAGAAAGGCACTGCGTAAAATATTTGCTCTTTATAAACTCTACACCCATAAATACCCCAAAAGTACGAGTGCATTTTAGTACTCGCTGATACCGAGTCCAGTACCATACTGAGTAACCACTTACAAATAAATAAATGTTAGTGTAAATAAGTGTAACCTTACCAGTTAAATCGTTAAAATCTAGCTGATTTTAGGTGAAGTGCATTAGCTACACAAAAGCACCCATACAGAACCCGTTTCGTCTGTGAGCAGGGCCTACGTCATGTGTTCATTACAGTGTACATTCAGTGTAGACTTGGCTTACGTCACACGGTATCAGGTGGTATCAGATGTTGGTATCGGTTATGAGCATTTTTATGAGTATGAGTAAATGAGCACAGTATTGGGCCGATACCCGATACCATTATCGGTATCGATGCATCCAGTGTGACTAGCTACTTTTCAACGTGAGTAAATGTGATTGGTTGGAGACCTGCTCCTGATTGTTCAGCAGCCTCAGAGCCTCCGTCCAATGAGAGCGCATCATTCCCTGCAGGCGGGACACGAGCTCCTCCCTCTGTGTCTCCAGCCTCCTCTTAGAGGCTTCCATAGAAACCAACTCTTCCTGCAGTGCTGCCATCCTGCGCACACACACACACACACACACACACACACACACAGAATTAGAAAAAAATGCATGTTTCACTCTGATCAATAACTTAAAAACCCCAATATTTACCTCCAGATCTGTGATCACTTTATTTAGGTATTTTTCTGAGGAACTCTACAGAGAACATTATGATTCAATATGTACTTTATTTTTGACAAGTTCAACTACAGTTTCAAAGTAAATGCTCTTAATATCATATTTCCATCAGAACCTGTCACCAAAAATAATTTTTTTTCTTAGGCTGGAGTGTCAAGGTAGATCTGTACTATTATAAAATAATTATGCCAGCGAGATGTGGAACTCAGTGGAGAACTAACTGACTGACAAGAAAGGAGAGGAAGAGGAGGAATTCCACTGTTATTTTATTTTCCCCATAATTCAGTGTGTGAGATGTAATCAGAGATTCAGAGGGGTTTGGTGTGAAATGGTTCTTTACAGTGGTGGTGATAGGAACCAGGGGTCGCCATGACTACAACACAGATATAGACATTTTATTTACTATCCAGAACCACCAGTGAACCTACACGAGTCTTCTGAGTTTATATGAATGTTGATGATGAAAATAGTGGAAAATCTGAAATAATAAGTTTTCTTTGGGGACTATTTTGCCTCACAGCGCCCTGCATGTATCCCTCCACCATGAATGGAGTTTAAGTTCTCTAAACTATCATAAAACAGTGTCTCAGTCATCAGGCAGTGAATTCATAACCATTTCATGTAGGAACTTTCTGTGAGGGAGCTTTTAGAGGTGGACGTCTGGTTCCTATCACCACCACTGTGAACAGTTCTGACTCGGTAAGTTTCTCTAGAACGGAGCGTTTCACACCAAACCACTCTGAACCTCTCTGAACCGCTCTGTTTACATCTTAACCACTCAATTATGCAGGAAATTTGGAAAAAATTGGTGGAATTCCTCTTTAAAGGCTAATCCCATCCTTGTGCTGCTGTAGAGGAGAACATACTTGTTGTTGAAGTGGAGCGTGAGCTGCTGCTGCTTCTCGTCTTTCTCCTCTAACTGCACTCTGAACTCCTCCATCTGTGCTGAGAGCTCTCGTTCATGACGAGCACTCAGGTCCAGCAACTGCTTCCTGTAAAACAAAAACGTGCCCACATGTAGTCTGAGCTGGTGCTGAGTAGTTCTTGTGGTTTAACAGTATAACAGTGTCTTCCTGCACAGACAGACCTCCAGCTTTCAGACTGATGAAGTGCCCTCGCCGTCAGCAGGCATGATAATTTTACTTTGCTTTTGGCTGGTCTCTAAGAGGTGAGGCTCAGTGTTGCCCCAGGAACAGAGCTTCATTGCTCTTGAGCGCCCCCTCTGGTGCAGTGAAATTTTTATATTAAGTGAACACAAGAATAATTTGTGTTTTAATTTGTTAATATTACAAGTTCAATAAACTCGACATTTGAAGTTAAGCTAGTTGCTTCCTTTTTATGCTGAAAAGCTGCATCATTTTTTACAGCTTTCCTCAGTAACTCTGACCTCTCACATGATACATCGTCACAGCACTGGAAACCCCACCAATGAAGCAGTTTAAAGCCCAATTCGGACAGAATTAAATGTACACTGGGTCCTGTGGTCCTTTCCTCTTTTACAGGAGCTCATCTGTGACTTTACTGCTTGAAGCAGTTTTTCTCCCTCCTCCCCTAAATTACCTACTGTTTTTCACCAAACTCAGCTCTGCTCTGATCATTTTAGTCCTGACCGGATTCACATCTCTGTGTTTGTCTGGTCAGATGTCGCCTCATGTTGGGAAGAAAAGATTTCTGACGGCTGATACCGCTGCAGTCTGTCTCCTAGACCCTCTCCCAGATATTAAATTCTTTCCCAAATGCAAACCAGAAGACGGATGCTCTCCTCTGGAGTCGACTGGTGATGGAATCAGTTTACTCTGGGTGGTATTTTGACTACAGAACAGCTTTATCAGAAGAGAAAAGACAAGAGAAAGAGATCTTACAGGCCCATTAAAGGAGGGATTATAAAGGCAGCTACGCAACACTTTTAAAAGTTGTTTTTTCTTTTCTTCTTTTCTTAAACAAAGTTCTGTACAACTAATGACTGGTGACATCACTGTCAGATCCTTAAAGATCTAATGTTAAATTCTGGTAAAAGAAAACACAACCTACTAGAAACTTGTTCATCCTGAGGTCTTTTTACTGCTGTCTGGGTGTGAGAGTTTTATCACTGAGCAGACGCATAAAAATGCTCCCCCTGATGAGGAAACCCAGTCTGAACAGGGCTTAAGACCGCAGCGCATTCCATAGCACGGTCATTTTAAACAACACCCAAAGTCTGCAGTAGGGGGCGCTAATAACTCACATCATCAACTTTTTGTTATTGGAAAAACAGGGAATTTATGACATGCTCCTAAACCGGTCACGTAGTTTAGCTGTAGCTGCGCTGTTCTCCTGCTGTGTGTCTATGTGTACCTGTGTTGTTTCTGTAGTTTAGCTGTAGCTGTGCTGTTCTCCTGCTGTGTATCTATGTATATCTGTGCTGTTCCCGTAGTTTAGCTGTAGCTGTGCTGTTCTCCTGCTGTGTATCTATGTGTACCTGTGTTGCTCCTGTAGTTTAGCTGTAGCTGTGCTGTTCTCCTGCTGTGTGTCTATGTGTACCTGTGTTGTTCCTGTAGTTTAGCTGTAGCTGTGCTGTTCTCCTGCTGTGTGTCTATGTGTACCTGTGTTGTTTCCCGTAGTTTAGCTGTAGCTGTGCTGTTCTCCTGCTGTGTGTCTATGTGTACCTGTGCTGTTTCCCGTGGTTTAGCTGTAGCTGTGCTGTCCTCCTGCTGTGTATCTATGTGTACCTGTGTTGTTTCTGTAGTTTAGCTGTAGCTGTGCTGTTCTCCTGCTGTGTATCTATGTATACCTGTGCTGTTTCCCGTGGTTTAGCTGTAGCTGCGCTGTTCTCCTGCTGTGTATCTATGTGTACCTGTGTTGCTCCTGTAGTTTAGCTGTAGCTGCGCTGTCCTCCTGCTGTGTGTCTGTGTGTACCTGTGTTGTTTCTGTAGTTTAGCTGTAGCTGTGCTGTTCTCCTGCTGTGTATCTATGTGTACCTGTGTTGTTTCCCGTGGTTTAGCTGTAGCTGTGCTGTCCTCCTGCTGTGTATCTATGTGTACCTGTGTTGTTTCCCGTGGTTTAGCTGTAGCTGTGCTGTCCTCCTGCTGTGTATCTATGTGTACCTGTGTTGTTTCTGTAGTTTAGCTGTAGCTGTGCTGTTCTCCTGCTGTGTATCTATGTATACCTGTGCTGTTTCCCGTGGTTTAGCTGTAGCTGTGCTGTCCTCCTGCTGTGTATCTATGTGTACCTGTGTTGCTCCTGTAGTTTAGCTGTAGCTGTGCTGTCCTCCTGCTGTGTATCTATGTGTACCTGTGTTGCTCCTGTAGTTTAGCTGTAGCTGTGCTGTCCTCCTGCTGTGTATCTATGTGTACCTGTGTTGCTCCTGTAGTTTAGCTGTAGCTGTGCTGTTCTCCTGCTGTGTATCTATGTGTACCTGTGTTGCTCCTGTAGTTTAGCTGTAGCTGTGCTGTTCTCCTGCTGTGTATCTATGTGTACCTGTGTTGTTCCCGTAGTTTAAGTGTAGCTGTGCTGTTCTCCTGCTGTGTGTCTATGTGTACCTGTGTTGCTCCTGTAGTTTAGCTGTAGCTGCGCTGTTCTCCTGCTGTGTATCTATGTGTACCTGTGTTGTTCCCGTAGTTTAGCTGTAGCTGTGCTGTTCTCCTGCTGTGTGTCTGTGTACCTGTGTTGCTCCTGTAGTTTAGCTGTAGCTGTGCTGTTCTCCTGCTGTGTATCTATGTGTACCTGTGTTGCTCCTGTAGTTTAGCTGTAGCTGTGCTGTTCTCCTGCTGTGTATCTATGTGTACCTGTGTTGCTCCTGTAGTTTAGCTGTAGCTGTGCTGTTCTCCTGCTGTGTATCTATGTGTACCTGTGTTGCTCCTGTAGTTTAGCTGTAGCTGTGCTGTTCTCCTGCTGTGTGTCTATGTGTATCTGTGTTGTTCCCGTAGTTTAAGTGTAGCTGTGCTGTTCTCCTGCTGTGTGTCTATGTGTACCTGTGTTGTTTCTGTAGTTTAGCTGTAGCTGTGCTGTTCTCCTGCTGTGTGTCTATGTGTACCTGTGTTGCTCCTGTAGTTTAGCTGTAGCTGTGCTGTCCTCCTGCTGTGTATCTATGTGTACCTGTGTTGCTCCTGTAGTTTAGCTGTAGCTGTGCTGTTCTCCTGCTGTGTGTCTATGTGTACCTGTGTTGCTCCTGTAGTTTAGCTGTAGCTGTGCTGTTCTCCTGCTGTGTGTCTATGTGTACCTGTGTTGTTCCCGTAGTTTAAGTGTAGCTGTGCTGTTCTCCTGCTGTGTATCTATGTGTACCTGTGTTGCTCCTGTAGTTTAGCTGTAGCTGCGCTGTTCTCCTGCTGTGTATCTATGTGTACCTGTGTTGCTCCTGTAGTTTAGCTGTAGCTGCACTGTTCTCCTGCTGTGTGTCTATGTGTACCTGTGTTGCTCCTGTAGTTTAGCTGTAGCTGCGCTGTTCTCCTGCTGTGTGTCTGTGTACCTGTGTTGTTCCTGTAGTTTAGCTGTAGCTGTGCTGTTCTCCTGCTGTGTGTCTATGTGTATCTGTGTTGTTCCCGTAGTTTAAGTGTAGCTGTGCTGTTCTCCTGCTGTGTGTCTATGTATACCTGTGCTGTTCCCGTAGTTTAGCTGTAGCTGCGCTGTTCTCCTGCTGTGTGTCTGTGTACCTGTGTTGCTCCTGTAGTTTAGCTGTAGCTGTGCTGTCCTCCCGCTGTGTATCTATGTGTACCTGTGTTGCTCCTGTAGTTTAGCTGTAGCTGTGCTGTTCTCCTGCTGTGTATCTATGTGTACCTGTGTTGCTCCTGTAGTTTAGCTGTAGCTGTGCTGTTCTCCTGCTGTGTATCTATGTGTACCTGTGTTGTTCCCGTAGTTTAGCTGTAGCTGTGCTGTCCTCCTGCTGTGTGTCTATGTGTACCTGTGCTGTTCCCGTAGTTTAGCTGTAGCTGTGCTGTTCTCCTGCTGTGTGTCTATGTGTACCTGTGCTGTTCCCGTAGTTTAGCTGTAGCTGTGCTGTTCTCCTGCTGTGTATCTATGTGTACCTGTGCTGTTCCCGTAGTTTAGCTGTAGCTGTGCTGTTCTCCTGCTGTGTATCTATGTGTACCTGTGCTGTTCCCGTAGTTTAGCTGTAGCTGTGCTGTTCTCCTGCTGGATATTTGCGAGTCGCTCTGTGACCTGCTGTTCCACACACAGTCTGAGCTCCACCTCCCACTGAGAGCGCTGAGCCTCGAAACGAGCCTGCAGGGAAACAGTTAACATTCTCGGTTCAAAATAAATCATTTAAAAATAAAAACACTGTAATCTGTTAACATTAAATGACTACATTTTGATCTTGATGTATATTCAAGACATTTCTATGATTAATTTAACTGATTGAATGAAGACTGTGACTTGCGCTTAAAGCTCCACCTGCTGGAGAAATGTCAGACTGCAACACATGCCCTAAATAATCACGTCCTAAAGACACATTCACTTTATGTTTAAAAAAACAAGTAAACAAAAAAACAAGGAGTTTTCTGTTGGTATAATGGAGACACTGTGAAATTCAGCTCCTGTCTGGAGACATTAAGTATTCAATTTTCATTATTGCATGGACACTTAAGGTGAACAGAGAACGCAGTGTCGTGTGTTACTCTGGTAAGCTCTCAAAATATTACAGATGCACATACTGCAAGTACTACAGATGCTCTGCTCAGTAAACATTTCTACTTAAAACCTAACTCTGAATAGTACTGGATTACTGGATAAGCATCTTCTGAGCTACTTGATAAACAAAGCTGCATTATTATGTTATGACATACTTTAGGTGTGTTTACCATGTTTTTTAAGGACTTTCATGTCATATACACAAACATGTGACCGCAAACACGTGCATTTCTGAGATTCTGCATTTTTTCCTCCTTTAAGCCAGACTGCACCAAAGTCTCTGGCTGTGCATGAGTTTATGTTACAGTGGAGAAAACGCCTGTATAAAAATACGATGAAGTTTTATGAATCGATTCAAAATCTTTCAAGAGAGAATCGCAATAAATGTAAGAATGAATCATTTTTCCTACATGGAACGATTACAAACTGTGCTGAGTCTCTGGCTCTATGGCTGCGTTCACATTACCAGGCTGAAGTGGCACAGAGTTTTTACCTTAATGTCACACAAACCCGATCTATTCAAATCAGATCTAAGCCACTTTTGTATGTGGTCCTAAATCAGATACATATCCTAAATGTGGCCATGTGAGCTTAACGTGAATGCTCAGATCAGAATTCGTCCACCATCATTAAGTATTAATGTGGCAGCAAAACCTAACCTGCCAGTGAACTGTGTATAATCAATTCATCTGAGCCTTTACTGACCTCGTCTTGCTCTAATAATAAACAGCTGAGAGCTGCTCAGAGCAAATTATCCTGGTGATGAAGGCTTTATTTATTAGGATGTACGCATGGGGGTCGTTTCAGGGCGCAGGTTCGTTCACATTAACGTTAGATTTGAGTAACTTACCTACATGAACGTGAGCCAAGTTAGAAAGATCAGATCTGAGCAAAAAAATTCAAAGTGAAATGAACTGAAACTGAATATGTTCTGTGGTCCCGCCTGCCTCTAAACTGAAAGCCACATTAATATTTCAAAAACAGATCTGAATGTGCTGGTAAAATCTAAAAAACATCATAAATAGTTTGTAGCACTTGGCTTAAATAACACCATTTTTTAGGTTCTGGTTACAACATGCGGTTCTGAATAAAAGGGGCCTTTATCATCTTAATCAATGAGGCGTTTGGCCCATTTTACTAAAGGAACTCTGTAATACAGTCGCTGTATAAGATCTCCTATTCAGACTTAAACCAATGAACTGTCTATTATAGCGTCTCTGACCTGGTCCAGTGCTCGATCCACCCTGGCCGTGTCTCTCTCTCTCCTGGTCTCCTCCAGCTCCTGCTGTAGCTGCCGTACTGTGGACTGGGCCTCCTCGCGGAGCTGCACCTCCTGGCCCACTCGCTCCTAAACACACACACACAGACACACACAGACACACACAGACACACACAGCAGCCCTTTTACACAGGAACTTAAGAGTGATCACACAGGACGGGTCAGAACACGAGCCAGAATCAAAATCTCAGTGAAGATGATGCAGCAAAGTGAACCGTCTGTGTTTTCACAGCGGAGTTTTCAGTCTTTAATAAGTGTATTTTTACTGCACGGTTAAAAACAGTGTTTATATGAGCAAAATGAGGAACACTTGATTTTCCATGATACAAGCCCTCTCTGTGTCCAGCTGCTGTGTGAAGTGTGTGTGTGTAACTGACCCTCTCTGTGTCCAGCTGCTGTGTGAGGTATGTGTGTGACTGACCCTCTCTGTGTCCAGCTGCTGTGTGAGGTATGTGTGTGACTGACCCTCTCTGTGTCCAGCTGCTGTGTGAAGTGTGTGTGTGTAACTGACCCTCTCTGTGTCCAGCTGCTGTGTGAGGTGTGTGTGTGACTGACCCTCTCTGTGTCCAGCTGCTGTGTGAGGTATGTGTGTGACTGACCCTCTCTGTGTCCAGCTGCTGTGTGAGGTATGTGTGTGACTGACCCTCTCTGTGTCCAGCTGCTGTGTGAAGTGTGTGTGTGTAACTGACCCTCTCTGTGTCCAGCTGCTGTGTGAGGTATGTGTGTGACTGACCCTCTCTGTGTCCAGCTGCTGTGTGAAGTGTGTGTGTGTAACTGACCCTCTCTGTGTCCAGCTGCTGTGTGAGGTATGTGTGTGACTGACCCTCTCTGTGTCTAGCTGCTGTGTGAAGTGTGTGTGTGTAACTGACCCTCTCTGTGTCCAGCTGCTGTGTGAGGTGTGTGTGTGACTGACCCTCTCTGTGTCCAGCTGCTGTGTGAGGTATGTGTGTGACTGACCCTCTCTGTGTCCAGCTGCTGTGTGAAGTGTGTGTGTGTAACTGACCCTCTCTGTGTCCAGCTGCTGTGTGAGGTGTGTGTGTGACTGACCCTCTCTGTGTCCAGCTGCTGTGTGAGGTATGTGTGTGACTGACCCTCTCTGTGTCCAGCTGCTGTGTGAGGTATGTGTGTGACTGACCCTCTCTGTGTCCAGCTGCTGTGTGAGGTACGTGTGTGACTGACCCTCTCTGTGTCCAGCTGCTGTGTGAAGTGTGTGTGTGTAACTGACCCTCTCTGTGTCCAGCTGCTGTGTGAGGTATGTGTGTGACTGACCCTCTCTGTGTCCAGCTGCTGTGTGAAGTGTGTGTGTGTAACTGACCCTCTCTGTGTCCAGCTGCTGTGTGAGGTGTGTGTGCGTGTGTGTGCGACTGACCCTCTCTGTGTCCAGCTGCTGTGTGAGAAGTGTGTGACTGACCCTCTCTGTGTCCAGCTGCTGTGTGAAGTGTGTGTGACTGACCCTCTCTGTGTCCAGCAGCTGTGTGAAGTGTGTGTGTGTGTGTAACTGAACCTCTCTGTGTCCAGCTGCTGTGTGAAGTGTGTGTGTGTGTGTGACTGACCCTCTCTGTGTCCAGCTGCTGTGTGAAGTGTGTGTGTGTGTGTGACTGACCCTCTCTGTGTCCAGCTGCTGTGTGTGTGTTACTGGCACTCTCTGTGTCCAGCTGCTGTGAGGTGTGTGTGGGTGTAACTGAACCTCTCTGTGTCCAGCTGCTGTGTGAGGTGTGTGTGCGTGTGACTGACCCTCTCTGTGTCCAGCTGCTGTGTGAGGTGTGTGTGCGTGTGACTGACCCTCTCTGTGTCCAGCTGCTGTGTGAGGTGTGCGTGTGTGTAACTGACCCTCTCTGTGTCCAGCTGCTGTGTGAGGTGTGTGTGTGTAGCTGACCCTCTCTGTGTCCAGCTGCTGTGTGAGGTGTGTGTGTGTGTGTGTAACTGACCCTCTCTGTGTCCAGCTGCTGTGTGAGGTGTGTGTGTGTGTAACTGACCCTCTCTGTGTCCAGCTGCTGTGTGAGGTGTGTGTGTGTAACTGACCCTCTCTGTGTCCAGCTGCTGTGTGAGGTGTGCGTGTGTGTAACTGACCCTCTCTGTGTCTAGCTGCTGTGTGAGGTGTGCGTGTGTGTAACTGACCCTCTCTGTGTCCAGCTGCTGTGTGAGGTGTGCGTGTGTGTAACTGACCCTCTCTGTGTCCAGCTGCTGTGTGAGGTGTGTGTGTGTAACTGACCCTCTCTGTGTCCAGCTGCTGTGTGAGGTGTGCGTGTGTGTAACTGACCCTCTCTGTGTCCAGCTGCTGTGTGAGGTGTGTGTGTGTGTAACTGACCCTCTCTGTGTCCAGCTGCTGTGTGAGGTGTGCGTGTGTGTAACTGACCCTCTCTGTGTCCAGCTGCTGTGTGAGGTGTGTGTGTGTAACTGACCCTCTCTGTGTCCAGCTGCTGTGTGAGGTGTGCGTGTGTGTAACTGACCCTCTCTGTGTCCAGCTGCTGTGTGAGGTGTGCGTGTGTGTAACTGACCCTCTCTGTGTCCAGCTGCTGTGTGAGGTGTGCGTGTGTGTAACTGACCCTCTCTGTGTCCAGCTGCTGTGTGAGGCGTGTGATGTCCTGCTGTAGCTGAGACAGCGAGTGTCGGCTCTGCTGGTTCTGCTGATCCAGCTCTGTCTGCAGAGTGACGGTGAGAGTCTGGAGTTTCTCCGATTTGGCTCGCTGCTCTTCAGCCTCGGACCGCCGCTCCTCCACACGGACACGCAGCTCCTCCACACACACCCGCAGCTCCGCCAGCTCCCGCTCCTGCACACACACCGGCGAGTGAACGGAGTAAAACGCTGAGATGTTTGTTTTAGAGCCGCTAAAGTGGTGAGTCACTGTTTTTACATCATAATCACAATTTAAAATTCTTCTTAATAAAAAATAAAACAAACAAAAAGGCGTGGAGCTTAATTAAGCCTGTAGAAAATAATCATGTTCACATCTTAACGGCAACACTAGCAAAATGCAGCAGAGCAAACAGACACAGAGAAAATACAACTGAGTTTGTTGTGCAGACACGCGTTTAGTACCAGTCAGCTACATACATGTAGTATGTGTTTGTGCACCTGCTGTTTGTTGAGGTTCTGCAGCTCCTCGTTGCGTTTCTGCTCCTTATCCAGCGCCTCCGCTGCCTCTGACAGACTCTTCTCAAAGCTCGCCAGAGCCTACAACACACACACAAACTGATGAACACCATCTTAACATTCTGACTGGTGTGGGGACATTCTGCTGGTCAGAGAAAAGGTCTGACCCTAACATTTCTGTCAGTCTGTTCATCATGAAATTTTAACACAGTGTAAACATCAGCTGGCTTTTTTAAACGGTGTACAAAAATAAAAAACAACTAGAATACAGATTCTAATGAAAACGAGAATTATTACTAGCATTATTATTATTAGAGTTTATACCATTAAAATTATCATTATTATTACTATTTTACAGCATGCTTTAGCTTAATCACCAACAATCGAAGCTCGTAACAGACATTTGACTAATATTCTTTACTATGTACAATTGTATGCAAGTTTGGGTTCCCCTGTTTTGTGGATTTTCTATGTAAATGTACAATTAATGTTAACTTGCTACAAATAACATGTGCACTAAAACGTGCAGGAAATGCCTTATTTAAGAGTGTTCTCTGTAGAGGATGTGTAGATTTATTCACACTAATAAAATCAACAAAACATGGAGTTTGACCAACTGCATGTTGCAGTTTTACAGCCTCACAAGTAAATAATTTACCTCAAATCAGACGTCTGAGTATTTTTAACCTAAACTAAGGCCCAACCCCATTTCACCCCTCACTCCTACGACTCAGGTGTCCCGATTCTTGTTGAGATAGAGGGGTGGGACGAAGTGTTAGGGCTACATGATCCTCCAAACAGAGGTTTTTCAGAGACTCCAGAGTGTTAAAAAAAAATAAAAAATGGCAAGTTGGCTGAACAAGAGACCAAAGAAACCCACAAATATGAGAATTTTCTCTGTTAAAATTTCTGATAACGATTATGTTATTTTAGTTTCTTCATAACATCCATAAAAATCTCTAGTAGTGCTGATGTCTCGGTAGCTACATTTCCTGTTCCACCTTAAATGGCGCAGCAGTTCCATTATGGCTACTCAAGCATCAGAACTGCTGCTCCATTTAAGGTGGAACGAGAAAATTTGAACGAGAATCTATTGAATATCTGACTTCAGCTTCATATCACTGGAGAATTAGGGGTGGTGATAATAAATAATTGCCCCCCCTTTGAAGATCATATGAGTCCCTAAATGTAACTAAAGCCCAGCAGTGAGGAGCTGAACTTTACCCTCCTCTGCTGTCACTGCAGACTGGCAGGGTCGCCTACAGAGCAGCGCTGGTAGCTGTTAATGAAGTGATGCTCTTTTTATTTGAGGGTCTCATTTCAGAGGAAGATTTCAACCACTACCCTGTAACTCAGTTCCAAGGGGCAACACTCAAAAACAAGGGGTAGAGGACAAAATAAGAAATGGGGTTGGGCCTTGGTCTGTTTGATTTCTCACCCTTTTACATCATCTGACTGTATCTGCACTTTTATCTCCTTAAAATCAGTATCGATGATGAAGTCCTCATATCAGTCGTGCCCTGGAGTGAGAACACACCTCTCTGTGTTTGTCCCGCACACTCTCCGCCGCCTCCTTCTCCTCCTGCAGCCGCCTCACTCCCTCACTCTTCTCTCGCTCGTGCCGGCGCCAGCCCTCCACCACCTTCTCTAACGTCTGAGAGAGAGAGAGAGCAATGAGAGAGAGACATTAGATGACACTGTAATGAGCAGCTTTACTGTTTCTATAGGCCAAAAACATTATTAATTCATTTAACTCTGACCCAGTTTTCAATTCCTGTCTATCGGAGGAAAATGAATCAGTTTGTGTTTTGTGATGTAACCTTGTCGAGCTGCTCGATCATGATGTCCTTCTTGCGGTCAGCAGACACGGCCAGCGCTAACTGCTGCTGCAGCGCTAACATTTTATTCTGGAGGACCAACACCTGCTGCTCAGAGTGCTGCAGAGAGAGAGAGAGAGAGAGAGAGAGAGAGAGAGAGAGAGAGAGGATTATCAAGATACAATTACCCTGTAATCGGAAGTAATACCATCACAAATCAAATTTTTATGTGTAATATGAACAATAAAAGGGCAATAGAAGGGGAATTCCACTGATTTTTCTAAATTTCTGCATAATGTTTAAGATGTAAACAGAGCGGTTCAGAGTGGTTCAGAGTGGTTTGGTGTGAAACGCTCTGTTCTAGATAAACTTACCGAGTCAGAACTGTTCACAGTGGTGGTGATAGGAACCAGACGTCCACCTCTAAAAGCTCCCTCACAGAAAGTCACTACATGAAATGGTTATGAATTCACTGCCTGATGACTGAGACACTGTTTTATGATAGTTTAAAGAACTTAAACTCTATTCATGGTGGAGGGATACATGCAGGGCGCTGTGAGGCAAAATAGTCCCCAAAGAAAACTTATTATTTCAGATTTTCCACTATTTTCATCATCAACATTCATATAAACTCAGAAGACTCGTGTAGATTCACTGGTGGTTCTGGATAGTAAATAAAATGTCTATATCTGTGTTGTAGTCATGGCGACCCCTGGTTCCTATCACCACCACTGTAAAGACATCTGAACCATTTCACACCAAACCACTCACACTTAGACCTCACACAGTATAATATTATACAGAAATGATGAAACACTGGTGGACTTCTCCTTCGGTTCAAGTTAGCATAAGGACTCTCTGGTTGTCAGGAGAGGAATTCAGGCACTATAATCTAATTGAAAGAGAAGATACCCATAATACACTGTAACAGTTTATGTATGTGATTTTACATTCCAAGGTGAAGATCAATTATTTATTGATAAGTTCTTCTGAATAAAAACCTGATCATTTGAGTGTGGGTGTGTCCACAGCATAAGTTCTACCCCCTTCTGGCCAATTCACACTGATAGGCTGCCCAGTTCTCATCACTAACAGTGGTTTCAATGAAAGACACTTGAAATGAGAGCGACGGGCGAATCAGTGATACAGGTCAACATTTTATTTTTGTGTTATGTGCAAAATGGACACGACACAGACAGCGAGGGGCGTTACCTTACGTCTGGCTCTCTCTCTCTCCAGACTCTCTCTGATCACCTGCAGCTCGGACACAGAGGGGAACGGGGCGGGGTTTACGTCGGCACGGAGACGGGAATACCGTGGAAACAGCTCCTCTACACCACTGAGAGAGAGAGCCGCACTGAGAGAGAGAGAGAGAGAGAGAGAGAGAGAGAGAGAAAGGGAGAGAGAGAGAGGGAGAAAGGGAGAGAGAGAGAGGGAGAGAGAGATAGGTGGACACATAAAAAAATGAATGGCACAATAAAAAAAAATAATAATAATAATAATATTTAACATTTAACATTTAAATGTGTGCCTATTTATTCGTGTGTGTGTGTGTGTGTGTGTACCCGAGCAGGTGTGAGGTGGTGTCACTCTCATACGAGTCGTCCTGATGATGTTGTGGTGCAGGTCTCAGGAGCTCTGCAGGAGGAACAGGGTCAAATGTCAAGGTTAAATTTTCATAGTTCATATCAGAGGATGTGTAATGAGGACACCTGCCACTCAGTAATGTGTTCTGTGCTGGTCAGACACTAGAGGGCGCTCCTGAGGGAGTCTGAAATGAATGGCTTCTTGTGGAGCTTTTGTGCAAAATCACAGTTTATAAATGCTTTTTTATGTTGTTTTATGATTTTTATGCTTCACTCAAAAAAGCAGCCCCGTCTGAAACACTCTGTATAACTTCAGCGTGAATGGGCGGGGCTGTAGACTGAATGGGGGGGGCTAGACTACTGTAAGGTGAATGTGTGAATGTGGGCGGGACTAAACTGCTGTAGGCTGAATGGGCAAATATGCTAAACAAAGGTGTTTTTGAAGCTTAGTTTCCAAATATGGACTATAAGGAGTGGAGAGTGAACAGTATCATATTAAACTAACACAATGTTTGCACTCCATCAAACTCTTTTCCAAAAAAGGATATTAACCCTTTAATTAACAGTACTAACCATTTGGTTCCATTCATTCCTGTTCATGTATGACTCTCTCTGGCGCCCTCTAGTGTGTGTATGACTGCTCACCGTCTGTGTCAGTTGCTGTGGGTACTGATCTCAGCATCGTCTGTAAATGACTCCTCACGTTCTCCATCTCCTCAATATGCCGCCGGCCGCTCTACACACACACACACACACACACACACACACACACACACACACACACAGCTTGACTAACGTTTGTACAGATAGAGTGAGTTACAGACAGCTGACCTCATAGACTGTAGTGAATATGATGACTTTTACACTCTCAGTGATCTGATCACAAGCAGAGTGCTCAGAATATTATTAATAGATATTTACATCATTGTCCAGCACTGATATTTTTTGTGTGTCCCTGAGCACCTCTGAAGGTGGACTGAGTAATCAGATCACGGGGCGTCTCTGAGAGGCATTTTACCCCCTGTCCACTTAGCAGGACGCATGTTATTGCCAGATGTGAATGGGGGCATGCAGCTGTGCTGAGAGGTGCTACTTTATTACTATAGACAGACGGTGTTACCGAAAGTTTAGCGCTGCTGTTCACGCTGCTCTGCAGCTTCAGGTCCATCTCTTCGGTCATCAGCTCTGCGTCTGACTCCGTCTCCTCCGCTCCAGAGACGACGTCACGGGAGGAGCCTGCGTCCAGACTGAAGTCGGCCTGCTGCGACTCGTTCAGCCTGTCGGAGCTCAAGGACCGGGCAGCTGTCGCCACGGCAACAGAGCTGAGCTCCGGAGAGGAGGGCTTAAAGGATACCTGCCTGAAGAAGAAAGAAAGAAAAAGAATAAAAAAAGAAAGAAAGATAGAAAGAAAAGAAGGAATTGAGGAAGAAAGAAATAAAGAAAGAAAGGTACAAAGAAAAGAAAGAAAGAAAGAATGAAAGAAACAAACAAACAAATAAAGAAAGGCGCAAAGAATGAAAAATAGGAAAGAAAGAACAAAAGAAAGAAAGAAAGGAAGGTAAAAAGAAAGAATGAAAGAAAGAAAGAAAGAAAGGAAGGATAGAAGAAAGAAAGAAAGAAAGAATGAAAGAAAGAAAGAAAGGAAGGATAGAAGAAAGAAAGAAAGAAAGAAAGAATGAAAGAATGAAAGAAACAAACAAACAAACAAATAAAGAAAGGCGCAAAGAATGAAAAAGTAGGAAAGAAAGAACAAAAGAAAGATAGAAAGGAAGGTAAAAAGAAAGAATGAAAGAAAGAAAGAAAGATAGACAGACAGAAAGAAAAAAAGACAGACAGACAGACAGACAGATTAGTCTAGTATTCTAAGTATCTGATTCATTATGAGTGTTCAGGCCAGGCTGGGCTGCTGCACTAATAGATCTGCACTTCATTCATTTCACTGTATTTGCAGCCCTGCAGTAATGAGCGTTTTCCGTCTCTGTGAGGCTAAAAGGCAGATTTATATTTGTTTATGTACTGATACTGACAGATATGCACAAACATATACGACAAACATCAGAATCAGCCCACAATTTCCATACCAGTCCCTATTTACGACTAAATACAAGGCAAATAAAGTGTGACTGTATGATTATTTCTCAGTCCACAGTCCCTCTCCTGCTGCAACAGTGCAGACGTGTGCATGAGTGATTCCTGTGTCGTATAAACGTATAAACGCTCTCGCGCTTGGTGATAAAAAGACCATCACTACATCTGTAAACATGCCTAAGCTCTTACTGCAGTGGTGCTGCAGTGGTGCTGCAGTGGTGCTGCAGTGGTTTCTAGGATTTTTGGTTTTCAGAGTAAGAAAAGCCCCTTTTGATGACGTGTCTTGAAGGCTGAATTTGAAATCGGGTGAAATGTTTTAACCGGTGAATGGAGAAGCATTACAGCCAGGACGCTAAATCTTACCGGAGTTGCTGTGAAATCATTGTTACAGTGGAGAGCATGAATTACTCAAACCACAGAAACGACTCCGCAGGTGAGGAGCTAACGTTAGCAGTGGAGCTAACCTGGTTATCGAGATATCTTACCTCAGTTTGGCTCCTTTTGTCTGGCTGAAAGGGTAAAAACTCATCCCTGGTGTTTATTTCGTGGTAAATAAAGTCAAAATCTGTGTTTTCTTCATTATTTTGTTTGACGACTGAGGAAAGAACTACACTAACGCAGGCCTGGTTGTATTTATTAGCCTATAGGTCAGTGGCTGGGCTAGTACACAGGATTGGTTGACACCGCAGGGATTCCCAGTGGCTGTATGATCATATTATAATACATGTGGGCAAGACTTTATGACAAGTTTATGTCTTATTTCACAAAATACTTGGTGGGTCTGGAGACAGACACTTCTCTACATGTGTGATCTGGGGTGAAAACCCCCTGATTTAGTGGACGTCCTCTCCTACCTGGCTTTGGCCGAGTGGTCAGCGGAGACAAGTGGACGGCGGGCGGTGTAACTGCCAGTGCTGTAGAGCTCCTGCTCTTTACTGCGCTGTAAAGAGGAGTAGAGCCGAGCGGTGACCTGGCGAGAGGAGGAGAGGGGAGAGGAGGGCCAGGAGCGAGTGAGAGAGGGAAAAGAGGAGGAGAGAGGGAGAGGACGAGAGGGGGACGTAGGAGAGGACACAGGCAGGGGCTCCACATCGCTCAGGAGAACGTCTGCCATCTCCACAGACATCTCACACTGAGGAACACAGGGAGAAACGTGGTATTACTGAGGGACGTGGATAATGTGGCTCTGATTACATTCAAAATGACTGAATTTTCCAGATACATCACAGCATCAGGTGATATTTCAGGTAGCATTAATAACGTTAATAAGTCAAAGCCTGTTTTGACAGGGCTGTTTTCTATTCTCTATAAACACCATCTCCGTACTGTAAACGCTAAACAGATAAAATTACATCTACAGAGAAGAAACTTTGCTGGTTATTTAGCGTTTATGGATTTTGAACTGTTCTTTAAAGACAATCTGAAGCTCTTAGCAATTAAATATCATCGCTGTCCAAAGGAAAACAAGTGTCTCCGAAATAGTAATTTTGCAGGAGAGGGCAAAATGTTCTTTGCTTCCAATGTAATCTAATCTAAGCAATTTTGGAGCGTTTCTATTGGTCCAATCATCACGAAATTTTCACACAGTGTGAAGGACAGCTGCTAAGCTCAAACGATGAAGAAAAGTGAAAATCACCAAAAAATGGAGCTGCATGTTTTTCATTGGACAGAGACGATGTTACATTCAGGTTCTGGATACCTTTAATAACAGTTAGATAGTAAAAACACCACACTTTTTGACGGTCCCTATAGATAATATATAGATATTTCAATTATTAACAGCCTTTCTGGTGAGACTTAGTTGATTATCAACAGCATCAAGGTTAGGATTAGGTTTAGGAGTAGGTGTAGGTTTGGAATTAAAGTTAAGGTTAGACTTAATAGAATCTATCACCCGCAACTTAAAGTCGAGTTGCATTTAACGTTAATAGATATTTAGCTGAATGTTACTTGAAGACAGACTAAGCATTTGTAAAGCACTTTTAAAGACCACAGCACATGAAAGGTGCTACACAAATAAACTTGCCTTGAGCATCTACACAGCATCTACAGTGGACCATCAAAATAAAGCTTCACCAAAAAATTCACTAAAATCAAATGGCCTGGCAACAGGGGCGCCAGGGGCATATCATGATCCACCTGTAGCACTAAAATACGACTACACCTGTAAAAGAGAGGGGGGGGGTAGAATGTGAACAATGCACCATTTAAGATGGAACGGAAAGCTTTAATAAGAATCTGGCGAATACAAAGCCAACTTCAGCTTCTTAAGAAAGGCTGAGTGACAGTAATAATAAGAACTGCAACACTTTCCACACTATGGGTACCTTTATTTGTCCATACTGACAATCAGACACCTTTATTTTGCTGACTTTGTTCTGACACGGTCCTCTAGAGCTAGACCAAAGATTCAGGTCACTATTTAAGCTGCTGCTGCGCAGTGAAGCTGGCTTCTTATTCGAATGTCCCCGTTTAAGGTTGACTGCTGCACCTTTTAAGGTGGAACGGAACAATTCGAACCAGAAGCTGGTGAACAGGAAGCCTGAGTTCAGCTTTGTAAACATCTAAGGCTATTTTAACACGAACCTATGGACATTTCACTGTTTAGAGACACACAGGTACAGGTACCGAAGGTACAGAGGATAAAAGTCGATAAATTCGTGTTAAAAGTCGATAAATTCGTGTTAAACACCTCACCGGGTGATTTTATTCCCCTCTAAAGCAGAACGTTGTGCCCGCTGCGGTTAGCAGAGCGGCTAACGAGCCTCTGAGCCCGTTAAAATAACCCCGTTTAACAGTTCAGAGCGGTTAGATTAGCCGAGCGACTATAAAACATAAACAAACTGATAAAGCCCGAAGTTCCTCACCGATCCTGGAGCTTCAAACCCGCCGCTTTCAGCTGAAGCTAATGCTAATGCTAATGCTAACGCTAAACAAGTTTCCCGGGCCAGTCGGCGCCATAGCAACCACGGCCGCTGACGTCATCAACAACGGCCGACCAACAGCTCCGTTCATAAACCGATCCAGGGTGAATTAAAAATCAGTGTCAGAAAAGTAGCTAAGTTTCACACCACAGCAGAGTTACGATCCAAAAACACACTGTTCATTTATTTTTACACATAAAGGAGTGAAGGAAAAGGTTAAAACGCAGTTTCCCTCTGAATGAGTGATTCAGTAGGACCCACTAGTGGCTGAAATAAACACTACACTTTAACAGTGAGTGGATAAAAATCAGCATCGTTTACTCTCCTGCCTTCTCACGGGTGAAATACACAGTGAGAGTACATCTGTACTTGAGGTCTTAATACTTGAGTAAAGTCCGTTTGTATTTTAGTTAAAGGGTCATTCTACAGAAACGTCCATTTCTGTGTCCATAGCTTTACAGATCTATTACACTTAAAAACGTTAGGGTTACAATGTATTTATCTTTTTTAAATTAACAATGTTATTTTAACAATTACACCTTCTTGAGCCTCAATTTAGCAGTATTGGTTTTTAAATCAATCATATAGAATTCCAAGCACCACAGAAGAGCTCTTCCTCACAGTCATGTGTGAAGGCTGAGGCCATATTTTGAAGTAAAAAACATGTTTTTCTGCAATTTTAGCTACAATAATCTAAACATGACTATGGAAGATATGATTTAAATGACATAAAGAAAACAAATGCCAAATAAATATTATAAAATATATAATGAAAGTTGTTGTCCCCAGGAGTCGTGTCACTGGTGTTACTGTGTAATAAAAATCTCTTATTTTGTAATAAAAGTCACACTGATGACATCACTCGACTTCTTTTCCCTGTTTTCTGAGGATCTATGAAGAAAAGCACATGGTCCACTGAGTCCACTGAGTCTTTCAGTTATCAGAGATTTTCTCATTTAGCTCATGATTTCATATGAAGCTTTTAGCTGAAGTCACTGGTGTGACCGACTTTATTCTGAGGTAACTGTGAAAAAAATAGAATACAAATGGATTAAATTCCATATTTTAGTGGATATTCCATGATGGACAACATGTGGTTTGATGCTCTGTAGCAGTTATTCTGTAAAATGCATTGTTCATTAAAAATGTCTCTGGTGTTCCTTTATTATGAGTAACACCAGTGAGGATCAGTAACACCAGTGAGAGTGAGAGATGGAAAAGTGGACGTTTCTGTAGAATGAATGTAGAAATTCAGTAGAAAAACTGAATTTTCTCCTTTTCTTTTATAGATTACCTTTTACCATATTTTTCATATTCTCACAGTACCTAGCAGTAAAAAAAGAAAACAGTTCAGAAGTTTCCACCCTAAAGCAGCTGCAGTTCTTCAAAAGTTCCTCCCACTTTCCAGATGCATCATCAGAAGGTGGCTTTTCTAGTCTTTAATTTGGGAAATCTCACTCTTGGCCTACTGCAGCGCTGCAGCAGGAGGAGAGCAGGCATGTTCACAACATACAGAGTGATGGGTAACTGATTCATGGTGGCCGAAGTGGCCCTTTAACTCACTGTGAAGCAGCCAGTCAGTGTAGCTGATGGAGTGTGGGTGATGTGAGGACTGAAGGTCTGAAAAGCGATTCAGAAAAAGGAATTACAGTAACACAAGTGTAAACCAAGGGGTTTCAGTGCCTCTCAGACCCAGTAAGGCTTGAATCGTATGACGGTGATGAAAAGCGACGTGATACGGGTTTAAAAACACAAGATTACAAACATCTGTAGATGTTTTGACTGTGATTCTATTCAAAGTTCTCTATGAATACCAGCAGAATAATAAGGCTGATTCCAGACATTAGCTACGATTCTACCAAGCTGGGAGGGTGAAGGCCAACATGAGCTTCCTCCAGGACACACGAGGCTCCAGCATCTTTACAAACTGACGCCGACACCTCACGCTAACTGCTAATTCTGTTACAACAGACACCTGCGCTGGCAAACAGCGCGCTGAGTAATGGATGTGTGCATGCAGGGAGGACCATTCTACCCACACAGAGAGGGACAGGACAGTTATGCTCCCTTGGACTTCCACTTACGGACGGCTGTGGCATCGCCAGGGATCGAACTTGTGATCTGATGATGTTGGACCCATCTTAGGATCAGCAATCTTATGCACAAAGGGCTGCAGGTTTTCATTCCAGCAAAGCAAGAACTCAACTGACTCTACTTCTTTTCTCAATCAAACTGAATCTACAAACAAAGGATTAGTATACGAGGCGCTGGCACAGAAACCAGCCGCCACATAGCCCCTCTGTGGATCGGTGACCCCTGGTTTAGACAGTTGTGCCACTCAGAAGCCTGGAAACCCATTTTTAAACACTCCAAAAAGTAAAACTCTGAATAAAGTAAGTTGAAGTAAGTTACTGTTGAATACAGCTGTAATAATAACCAGGCTGTAAACCTGTTTACAACAAGCTGGCAGCCTAAAATGCTGACACACATACAATCAAGCAGCTTTCATTACGTTCAGATTTGCATTCATTAAAAACACAGACGCACAGAAACTTAATTCAAGCCATCATAGATCTGTTTACTGTTAAATAAAAAAGAAACACAAAGTCAGACTGAAACAGTAGAAACTGAACAGAGGGGCTCTGTTAGAAAAGGCGGAGTTTGTACAGCTCTGGAATGTCGGGAGGATGAGGAGGAGGAGATGGAGGAGGAGTCTGTTCCTGCACTTCCTCTCCTCCGCAGGAACGACAGATCACACTGCTCTCTCCTGCAGAGAGGAAACGAGTGTGAGATTGTGATTTGTGTAAGTGTGGGGGATTCAGTCCGTCTGAGTGAAGAGTGTGTGTCCCTTCACAATGTGATCTTCGTGTTGCGGAAGCTGGAGTTATCCCTGAGAGAGAGAGAGAGAGAGAGAGAGAGAGAGAGAGAAAATGGAATTAGGCCAGGGCAATCAACCAAAGAAAATCCAACATTATCAGGGACGGCCCTCTGACCAATCAGAAGAGGTGATGTGATTTTAGCCCTATAACTCAGCATGAAGTGAAATACACACTGCAACCGTTCAACGTGACACACCACAGTTAAAGACCACATGTACTGCCGTTAAGTGTGTGTGTGCCGTACTTGAGGCTGTCGTTGTGGGTCTTGTACTCCATGATGGTGTTGGGGGGGAGGTTCAGGACCCTCCGCAGTGTGTCTCTGATACGGGACGTGGTCACCTGATCATTCGCTGTTTTATTCCAGATAGACAGAATGTCCTCCTGTAGAGAGGAAAGAACACAACCACATTACCGAACGTGTACACTAACCGGCCACTTTATCAGAAACCCTCTCCTGTAGCCCCACCCTGCTGGTGTTTAGTTAGAGACCAAAGTAGCCAGTGAGTGGAAGCACAAGGTAGGTATTTCCAGTAAAGTGGCCAGTTAGTGGAAGTACAAGGTAGGTGTTTCTAATAAAGTGGCCAGTATGTGGAAGCACAAGGTAGATGTTTCTAATAAAGTGGCCAGTATGTAAAAGCACAGGGTAGGTGTTTCTAATAAAGTGGCCAGTCAGTGGGGGTACAAGGTAGATGTTTCTAATAAAGTGGCCAGTATGTAAAAGCACAGGGTAGGTGTTTCTAATAAAGTGACCAGTATGTAAAAGCACAGGGTAGGTGTTTCTAATAAAGTGGCCAGTATGTGGAAGCACAAGGTAGATGTTTCTAATAAAGTGGCCAGTATGTAAAAGCACAAGGTAGGTATTTCTAATAAAGTGGCCAGTCAGTGGAGGTACAAGGTGAAATAACTTTGTTTCTGAAGAGTACTATACAAATAAAACATCGTCATTTAAAGACCCACCTGGAAGCGTATGGAGACCACCACTCCACACACCTCCTCTCCCACCATGAACTGCTCTCCCAGCATGGCCAGGATGATGTTCTCCCAGAACCGTGACGCCAGACCTTTACGCAGCCGAATGATCCACTTACCGCCATTCTTATTTGCCTCGTCCTGAAACAAACACACACAGTAATGAGGGGCTATTAAAGGCACATCGGATTCTGACTCACACGCAGGTGATTATTTAATTTAATACTCCATTCAGTAATCGCAGCATTCATATTCACTGGAGGAGCTGATACTCATTTATGTTCCAACAGTAAGGGAACAGTTTGTGCCCTGATCATGATGATGATTTAATGGGTAAATCTGATCCTGCTTCAGTGTTCACACCCCTGGACCACTTACAGTACTGTTCGTTTTCAAAGGAATGTGTACACCAGCCGTAAACATCTCTGCCTATTATGATTTGATTCTTTAGGGCACAATGCAATGCCAAATTCTGCTTTGATCAAAAAATGCATGAAAATTATTAGATGTAGTCTCAATACTGATGGAATGAATCACAGTCTTCAGATCGTCACACTGCTAAAATGCCACCATTAAATTAGTGATGACCTACTGCATGAACCAACTTCTATCACATATATTTTAGCTACATATATGCTGATGCCAACCTAAACAAATGCTGATAAAACATAACTGGGACTAAACATATATTCAAATTTAGACTAAATCCAGTTAGATCAGCTTTACAGGGAAATATAAGGTTTATTTCTGTGAGGTTATAATGCGATAAAACGATTAAAACTCCGATATTTCAGTGCAGTAACCCAGAGTCAGCTAAACATTCTGCTCTTCTGGAGTTCAATAAATTCATCATCACGTATCAGTCCGAAACAACGCTCTTAAACACATGTTTAATACCAGTAAAAACTATTTTAACAGTTATCTGCCAGCTCTGATAGGATTATGATGTCATTGTGCACCACAAACTTTGGATTAAGTTATAACTTTCTGACTCTCCCACCTCCCACATGGGTTTGATGCCCTCCTTGAACAGGTGGAAGTCACTGTGACCCGTCAGATCCCCCGGTCGGACCAGGTGACTGTAGAACTTCCAAAACTGCTCCACCTGCAACAGAAACACCACAACATGTTAGACACACATCCTGCGAGAAACATACTAAACTTAACACACTCTAACACAGCCCTCGGGGTCTGGACACACTAAGACATCACTGAACTAGTGCCCACCGAAGCTGCTGATGACCACCTCCCGTCACCTCACGGTCACATTAAGTCGTCTGTGAAAGCGTGAACTCACA